GGGGTAGTTGTGACAGCCCTGGAGACTTCTCAGCACCATGCAGGTGTGTCACACATTAGCTCAGTGCAACAACAATGCATGGGCAGAAGTACTTCAGAAGTATTTGCATTCTCGTTTGGCCGTACCTCGTGACGACCTCCGAGTCGGCTTCCTGTGCTGTGACTGTGATGGTGAAGATGGCGTGTGAGCGGGAGGAGCGCTGGTTGAGCGGCGTTTCAGCAATCCGCCGATTTGCCTGCCCTTGGAAGTGCAGGTTGAGCGCCACCTCCTCATTGGCAGCCAGATGTGAACTCAAGTTGCGAATGATGACGCTCTCACCCTGCTGCGAAATGGCCACCTGTGCACCCGGATGGAACAGAAGCAGTGATGTGTCATAGGCCGCTTCATTTCTGCATGACGGTGGGCTACAGGCGTGCACAAACACCATAAACCATACATTCACTGTTCTCCACCCAGGATCTGCATGGACACTGAAACTGGCTTGGTATTGTGAGAATTCTTGTAGAGACTCAGCAGAGGTGGTGTCGCCCGGGGATGACAATCAAATTCATGGACATCTACTGCTTACTGTGTTCCATACGGCTGTGTAAGTTAGTTATCCGTCGCCGTGATTGTGGTGCTTTAGCCAACCATGTTTCCCCTCGCCAAGCTAACCAATGATGCAGTTCAGCATCATTGCATCATAGCACTGCATGCCAGGCCAGGTGCACATGGTTAAGAGCTATGCACATGATGAGTGCAATGTTTATTACACACTAGCAGTAACCAGGCATGCTCATGACCATGCGGGTCAGACTGCTCTCACTGACTAAGTGGCCAAGTGCCTCCCAGTCCCACCGGGCCATGTAGCAGCTCCACTGTGACTCCGGCATCGGTACCGACTGGAAAGTTCCAATAGTAACGAAGTCTGAAGTAAATGTTGAACGGTCTTTGCTGAGATGGCAGCTACACCATAGCGCAGGAGTTAGAGCATCGCTGGCGTCAAGTGAAGGTCCCTGGTTCGAGTCCTGGTGGTGACAGTCAAATTTGTTCAGACCTTTCCCGTTTTGCATCTTTCCTCAAACCAAGGAGTAACTAGGATAGTGATTCTTATATCTACCGGGATACAATCTTCGGTACTGACCTTCGGCAGTGTAGCCATCATTGAGTGTCCACGCGCGCCCGGGTTGAGCAGGTCATAGCCAGTGTCCTGGTAGATTTCCAGGTAACTGATGTGAACACTCCAATCGATCCCTGTAGACAACGTGAACACACAACGGCATCATTGGCCCACATCAGACATAGAGGGATGACTCAGGCATTAGCCCACGTCAGACACAGAGAGATGACTCAGGCATTAGCCCACGTCAGACACAGAGAGATGACTCAGGCATTAGCCCACGTCAGACACAGAGGGCTGAGGCCATTCACCCACGCCTGCTTACACAGGCATTAGCCCCGGATGATATCTGACAAAGACAATACGGTCCATACCTTTTTGGATTGGATTGGATTTTTATTTATAGTGGTGACTATAACAGACAATTGCCTAATAACAATAGACCCACTCGAGGGAAAGATGCAAAAAGATATGAATAATTAATATAATAGACTACCGGTATTGGATAGGTGATCATGTTCGCATTTTTTACCTGACTACAGTAGAACCTGTCAAGGCAACCACTCGGATAAGGTGACCACCTGTCCCAGAAGACCACTGCAACCAGGACCAAGGGATGCTATTTCCAGTGACTTTCCAGCACCATGCCTGCGTATGTACCGTTGCCTGCCGTGTTCCAATTTTCAAAGTCAGACCTCGCCGCTGCCAGGTCTTCTTTTATCCGGTTCCCCCTCGTCCACTCACGGAACATCCATCACGGACTAGAGCAATCGTATAGTGAACACCGTGGAGTGTAACACATCTCGTGTGCGTGTGTGTATGTGTGTGTGTGTGTGTGTGTGTGTGTGTGTGTGTGTGTGTGTGTGTGTGTGTGTGTGTGTGTGTGTGTGTGTGTGCACGCACGTCATCCAGCTACCTCGCCTGTACAGATATTTCTGTGAAACCAAAATGTGTGTAGCAAGGCGAAGTCTGAATGTATGTGAGTTTGCTGTCAGCCTGCCTAGCAACCTAGGAACACGACATACAGCCGTACTGCTGGTGAGTGTTGCGAATCACCCTGCACATTGGGTATTGGATCAAGCTACCGGAATCGCACGATGTCATGGTCTACTTCAGATCATGGAAATTCCAGTTCAACAAAGTTGATGTCTTTTCTGGAGGATTGGGGGGGGGGGGGTACAACGTACCTTCTCTGGCGGATAGTCGCTCATAGAGATGAGTTAGGGTTCGAGCAATCAGTCCTCTTTCTGCGTATTTGCGACAGCTACCCTCCACGGTGTAGGTCTTGCCCGACCCAGTCACTCCATAGGCGAAAATAGTGCCATTGAACCCTTCCACGCACCTTTCCACAATGCTCTTGGCAACCACGTCGAATACCTCTTCTTGACTGGCACGGACCGATAGGACGCGTTCAAATTGGAACGTGCGATTCTTAGCAGGTCGTCCGCTGCCCGAGCTTGGTGTTGCTGTGCGAGACCCTCCAGCCCGTGATGGCGGTATGGAGCGCTGACCATTACCACTCTCGATACTCACTTGTTGCTCGTTCTCCTGTTTCAGCCACTGGGAGCTCGAGTCATCGCCATTTCGCTTGCTGCCCTTGCCGGTTTTCAGACTGGGCGGACGAATCCGTGCGTAGACGCGGATACCAGTCATCTTTCACCCCTCTCTACCACCAGGTAAACCGGCATTGCTGCACAATAGAGACCTATCGTGCTTTCATCTTCGCGGCCTATCCTCTCGACTTCACTTCGTGGTGCTGTCCGATTCCTGATTCATTTTGGCTTCATGGCATTTTGGTTCAGCAAGACTGCTCGAGGCTTGATGGCAATGACAAGGTCTCAACCAGGCCAGGCGCTAGGCCAGGGAGTCGGGTTTTTACGATGGGCACGTGTGTGTTCGTCTTTCAGCTCGTTGTCACCATGGTGCTACAAAAAAAAGTAGACTTGTCACTTCCTCTCGATATAGACTCAGTCGCGGACGTCGGGGAATCCCAGACGCCTCCGAGGCTGGCCGACATCAGTCATCACACGGCCCGGACCGGTACGCGGTGTTTCTGCTTGCTGGCTACCTGTAACTGAAGTGGAGGTGGAGTAGGCGAAGGTCTTTCAGTAGATCCTCATCTTCATCACCGGTGCACCATCAAACTGTCACAGCGTCAGCTGCGCCTGGTAAGAGTGGCGTATGCGAAAGCCTTGTTCCTGACCGTGTGAACCACTCACTTCTCTGAGTTATCCGTGTCCGAGCTACCTGAGGCAAATACCGCAAAGGCTTCCGTTTGAAAGATTTTACCAGATCCCACGCCCTCTGGATCGCCGAGGGCGAAAAGGTGGATAAAGTAACACGTTAGTTGAAGCAAAAAAATGGGCACGTTTAGGTTCGGCTATTTTCTGCTGCTGGTGTTGATGTGTGTGGTCTACACCTCGCTTGCTCTACCCACCAAGCATCGCTTCAGCAAACTTGGCTTCGGAGAAGAATGGTGGAGACGTCAGCAGCGGGGTGAGCTACACGGCCCCGCCGATCGACAACGCACTCGGCACGGGAACAGGAATGGGCGGCCAGTGCAAGCGAGTGGTGGACAGGACACCACCGTCAATGTGTGGCAGAGATTGGACTCGGAGTTTTACGATGTGTCTGGGGAGACGGTGAGCTTGGCCTGGAATTGGCATCACTGGTTCGCATTATAGTGTGTTTATCAATGGGCTTGGGACGCACCAAACAAGTGTTTGCGCTAATGGCTAGCTTTAGTACCCCGGACACAACACACTTGTTCTCTTTGCATAATAATAATATAGGGCCTAAAGGCCATGTACATTTTTCAGGAAGAGCATACATGTCAGTAACCATCCAATCATTCGATCTAGGATGGATTACCTCGGCTAAAGCGCACTTGTTCCATGTCCTTCGGGGGGGGGGGGGGGGGACTGTATGAGTTTAACCGTACTGTAAATATTCAGAACGAGTGGATACGAAGGCGGTGAAGAAAATCCTTTTTCTTCACCGTACCGTGTAAATCATATATTTATGTTTGGCTATTTCCAGCCTGGGCATTATGGCATTATGGCCTAACATTACAATGTACATGTAGTTGTGGCCGAAATTTTGTTGTGCAAGGTTCAGTGTTGCAGTGTATACAGGTAGTAGCAGTAGAGGAGGTAGTAGCAGTAGATGCTGAAATTTAGATGCACCGAAAATCTGTAGACTTCCAGTACATATCAGGATTCCAGGTAAAGGGGTAGTAGGTAGGGGAGCAGCGCCCTCCCCCCCCCCTCCCTCCCTCCCCCTCCCCCCCCCCAATTCTGATGGCCCCCTCCCTACTCTTCCCCGCTCATTTTCTATTTTTAGTTTTTTCAGTTCACGCAAAAATGCAGCCAGAAATCGATCATTCCGGCTGCAGGCTCGTATGTAGTGTATTTTGTGTGGCAAGGCAATGTTGGTCAATACGTAGGCTGTTGGTCTCCCCCACCCCCCTGCCCTCCCCCTAATTTGTCCTGGCTAGAGTCCTGCATGGGGCTCATACCAAACTGATTGTAACTGACCTGTTGCCCCATTACCCGATGACTATGCCTATAGTATAGAGTGTAGTTTTAACAGTGATGTGCTCACAGACAGGACGGGCACCGTGCCACTGTTTCAGTCCTGGCAATTAGCAAAACGGACATGCGCTTGCCCACATGCATTCAGCTTTTCATACAGGAAGTAAACAGCTGTACAGCTGGTCCATATAGGGGTTTTCAAAAGAAGCAGACAGAGAGTTGCCGGCCACTGCGGCCACACCGTTCTATAGCACTACAGTACTGCAGGGTGCCAAAGAACTGCGGGTCAGCCTCCTACTGCCTAGGCCGTTCGGCTCCTATTACCATGTACGACAATAACGTCTACTGTAAGACATGTTAATAAATATTATAACGAGTCGCAAATTTAACGATTGTCCAAAATTCATAGGTTAACGAGAAGATACGTTAACGATCTTGCGGTCTTTAGGCATATCTGCACATAATACATATGAAGCATTAGAGCCTCAACAGAACTTATTATAACGAAAAAATGGCACCCGTTAAAACGTTAGATTTACTTCCTCGTTATAATTACATGTCTTACAGTATGCAGAGTTGAGTCACCGTGTACACGATCAGTGGTATGCCGCTGTGCTTGGTGAAGTCCTAGCCCGTTCGTTCTTCGGCACACGACAGTACTGTACTGTAGTACTGTGGCATGTTTGGCTTCACTGTCTGATGCTATGTTTTTTTGTATGATCATCCTCCATGCATACAACACCCTGATCGCGGGATGATGGCGTGGACAGCCGGAGTCGGCAGAGATCGTGTCAGCAGGTCTGTACAAAGACATGGCCGGTGATGACATCCACGCACACGGCGGTGGCATCTATGCGGAGAACGGCACCTACTACTGGTTCGGCACCTCGCAGAAGATCTTGCCCGGCGAGCTGTCCGACGGCATCAACGTGTACAAGTCCACTGACCTGCAGCACTGGGAGTTTGGCGCCAAGGTGTTCAAGAACACCAGGTAATTGCGTCAGTGCCCGGTACTACGGGTAGTATTGACCAGTGGGAACATAATAAAGGAACCTACACTCTACAGTCACTGCGATATTGACCATGCCACTGTTTGCTCCGGGAAATCCATGAATGAATAAAATACAACGATTTTGGCTCTAAGCTTTGAAAATTCCCAGTGGATACTCTGCAGGAGTACTTCAGATGATTGCCCGTAACAATACATCCTAAAATACCTTCTGCCAGCCCCCCCCCCCCCCCCCCCCCGAGCTCTGTAGCTAACTGTTAGTGTCATGATGCCTGCATGTGCTGTATACATCTGATCCTCAAACACATACTAGTGGACTATACCCTCTAGGATGCGGCATATGTGTACAGCCCTGCTCAATGAAATCCAGTCGCGTCACTCAAGTTTGCGCCTTGACCATGTCGCAGCCCAGTGTTCGCAGGTCTAGGGCTGCGCACCGCCCGGCACATTCTTGAGTGACGCAACTGGATTTCATTGAGCAGCTCTGTACACTGCACAACTCCTCCCGATTCGCCTTCCAAAATGAGAACAATCACATCTTTCTCAGCTTGCACTGTGCTGCACATGCATCTTTGCTTTGCACTGCAGCATCACCGTTCCACTACAGCCCCAGAAGCTGTACCGAATTGAGCGCCCCAAAGTTATCTACAACAAGAAAACGGAAACAGTGAGTTCGAGCATGCTTACGGCACACCGCAGAATGACATACAAGCAGCGATGCACATGGTGAATATGGTGCAGGCACATGTCTTGTGGGCTATTCGAGTAATTGTCTGGACTCGCAGGCACTCTGGCGGCAGTACTTTGCAGTATCCGTATGTTCATACTCATCTTAGTCGGCTTCCTAGTATGCGAATGACATGCACAGGGGTGCAGTGGAAATGTTAGTGGGTCTCGCATGCAAATGATGTCACTAGTATGATGTCACTGATATGATGCCACTCATGATGTCACCAGTATGATGTCACTGATATTATAGTTGTCTTCTGCCCTGTGCAGTATGTGATGTACTTTCACTTGGACGACTCCAGCTTTGGTCTGAGAATGGTTGGAGTTGCCACTTCGAAGACAGTCATGGGAGAATACCAATTTGTGGCAGGATGGAAGGTATGCTTTGTTATACATGATCATGTGGGAAGGTGTTGTTGCCTGTTTGTCAGTACATTTGCGTATCCCAGGAATCTCTCAGGATGTGTATGACTGTATAAATAAGCCCATTTGCGCATTTCCAAATACCGTAGAATCCCGCAGATAAGCCCATGGGCTTATCTGTTTCACAAGGACATTTCGGTGGGCTTATACGAGAACATGGGCTTATACGCGGGCATGGGCTTATACGCCGGCACCGACATTGTGCAGAAAGGTATCAAGGAAGTGAGAAGTACATTGCTGAAAACCACTGTGCAAACAAAAACAACCGATGATTGTGTTGAAATGTACGAAAAACGAAGAAATAAAACTACGTATACATGTACATGTACTATGTACATGGTATGACCAAGAGTCCATAATTTATGGAATCTTGGTATGAAGTAGGTCCATGGGCTTGTACAATGAAGCTCTGTGATGTTCGAACTAACCCTGGGCTTATGCGCGAGCATGGGCTTATCCGCAGGATTCTACGGTATGCAAGGTATGAGTAAATCAGAGTAATTCCTATGAGCACGCTGGGATCAGAAATGCACTGTTCAACACCCCACACGACCATACCCAGGTGGCTGTATGGGGTGTTGACGGTACAAATTAGGTCATTGCGCAACAAGCTTATTCCAGTGACCGGCCTAGGGCCTAAGCACGTGACTATGACCATTGTCCAGTGTGGTGGCGTAACAGACGAGTATACAAGGGGTGGCTGCCCTTATCACAAGGAAGCAGTGGCGGCTCGGCCCCGGGGCATTGAACTGACTGCAGCTGATATGCAACGTGCGCCCTGGGGTGGCTCAGGCTTAGCATAGAAATGGTAGGATTTGCACCTACATGTGCATATAGTGGGGTGTCACTGTGCATGCTCAAACTGCATTCTTCGGTTGTCTGTTGTACACTGCAGCCTGATGGACAGGATAGTTTCGACATGTCTCTGTTCTATGACGATCAGTCGGATGATGCTTACCTTGTCCGCAGTGTACGCAATCAGTTTGCAGGAATCAGCAAGCTGACAGATGACTTCCGTAAGTAGTCACTTCTTGACACATCTGGTTGGTTGGGATGTTGATGGTCGCAGGTGGACGCTGGTGAATCTGTCCTCCTTCTCCTCTACTGGCTCCGCCACCACCCCCTCCTCCTCCTGCATTGACATTCCGTGCCAATGAGGTGAACATGTCAGTTTGCGGATTACAGCATGCAAGAGCAACTCCCTAACTACTTCTTGAGTGTTGCTTATCATAGCTGGACCACCAAAGCATTGTATGGCGTGTGTTCAGATGATGATGATATGCTGGTCAAAAAGCAGGCAAACAGGTTGATTCGTAGTTCCTCATGACGGCATCCCAGTTGCTCTCATGGCTGATCATACTCCAAAGTACATTGTACTTGCTGTCTTGAACCATGTTTCCCCCCGCAGTGAACACAACTGGCATCACCAGCCAGGGTCCACGCATCGAGGGACAAGCAATATTCCGTCGCAATGGCAAATACTACATGATCGGCTCTCACTTGACAGGTCAGTCGGTGGAGAATGAATATACTGAACGAATGTTCACGTGTTGTTGCGCCGGGCTTGTCATTTGTTTGTTGTGTTTGAATTCGCTGATAGCCAGGGACAGCTTTGCAATGAAGGTGGCAACAGAAGAATAAATTAAAATGATGCTCTATACATGCTATCCTCTACATACGCACGCATGCGCACATACACACATGTGAATGCACACACATTCATGCACTGCATGCAGGGTGGAGCGCCAATCCTGCCGTGATGAGCGTGGCTGACAAGACGGACACGTTGGTCGATGCAAAGTGGACGGTCCTGGGCAACCCTACAGGTGAGCAGCACCTTGTGTGTGCGGCGCATGGCAGCTTGTGACTTCTGCTGGCCAGCAGGTAATGGAAACCAATCCTGCATGGCAACGGGCTACACACAAGGGTGCTACAACCCCCCCCCCCATGCTGTTAGACTGAAGTCCAGTGCTTGCTGATTTCGTGGTGTGTATGATTGGAGAAAAAAGACACTACAAACCTGTGTACGTGTGCAGTGTTGACCAGAGAAATCCGACCTCATGAATATTGTAGCGCTGCGTTCGAGTGCACGGAACAGTGTGTGAAGTGCTAGGGCTGTGTAGCGCCCGGCGCTATTTTATTCCTGGGGTTGGATTTCTCTGGCCAGTAACGTACACGGCTCCAAGTAAAATAGAAGAAGAAGAAAAAGATGTTTGCTACTAAACAGTTGCATGTAACAGTTAGTTCGCTGGTCGTTTCTTACAAACTGGTACTGATCTCTGCTGGGCTGGGGGATCACAGGGAAGTGAAAACACGTACCGTGCACGCTGGCACTCTTCTGTGCAATGGTGATTGTTGGCTCTCTATTTGTGCATCCTGGTGTCTGGTGAAATGCTTGAAGTTACACGGCTACACAGCTTTTCACCTGACCTCCGTTGTATGTGTACGTGTCCGGCTATGTATTTACATGGTATCATTGTGTTGGGTGTGTGCAGGTGATTCTACAACCTTTCATTCCCAGTCGACGTTTGTCTTGACCTACACGCATCCGAGTGGAAAGGTGCTGAACATGTTCATGGCCGACAGGTGAGTTAGAACTACTAGTATTCTTCTCCATTGCAGGATGGACCAGGATCCCTGGAGGTGCTGTGTGGCATCTTCAAAGTCAAAGTGTTTGAAGTTAGACTCACTCCCGAGTGGCCTATGCCAAGGAACACTCATAATAATGGTGTTCATTTGCGCTGTCTCCTTGCTCTTTGCAGGTGGAAAGCACCAGATGTGAAGGATGCCGACTATCTATGGCTGCCGTTTGTGGAAGAAAGCGGCAAGCTAAACATCACATATGTGGATACGTGGAAAGTCAAGGACTACTAACCATGGTTACCAAGAGTACATACCCCCCCCCCCCCGGCCCCACAGTGTGCAACGCCTGTGATCCAACTCTGCATAAGGTCTTGGTCGAGCATAGTCGGATCTTCTGATGGCATGTGTACGCTCCACACCAGCGCAAGGCTATAATTATGACATTATTATTATAATTATTATTACAGTCCATTCATAAAAAGATTTTTTTTTTTCGATAGTGAGGAAAATGTTATCAACTCCAAAGCACGAAAAAGGCCAAAAACTAAACCAAGAACATATGCAATATTAAACATGTTATTTATAAAGACAGGACAAGTGAATAATTAGTCAGTCCATTGTTCATGATGATCTCCGACGGTTACGTCGGCAAGCGAGCCTCCGCCACTGCCAAAGCAGCGTGGGCTCCGCAGGAGGGTGCAAATTTCAAACCAAAATTTAAACGCCTACAACCGCGAATGCACATGATACAGGATTTCAGAAGGCTGAAGGAAATCCTGCATCTAACAAATGCCATAACATGAGAGTAATGCTCACCCCTCTTCTCCGCCAACAGATGAGCAATTCGTTTGTACAGTGCTGTTGATGCCGGACCCATTCCGCCACTGGCTGACATGACCGCCGGAACAAAGGAGGCTTGCTCAACCTGCCTCACCCGCTCCTCATAGTGCCTTCTCTTTTCTTTTTCATGTCGCTGATACACAATAGTATGTGGTGCAGATCGATTTGAGCGTGAGTGAGGATTAAAAACCCGTATATCAATAAGTGTACGCTCAAAACGACTGCCCCACAAACCATTGGCAGCGACATCCAACCGGGCACGGTCTTCCACATTTGCGGTCCGGTAGCGAAGACGCTCCCCCGTCAGCGGTTGCAGCAAGGGCTCGATGGACACACTGGTGCACACCTCGTCCAGCAGCCGGGCCGTGACATCCCGAATACCATTGTGTCTAATGGAGGGAAACCCTCCATAGGGGCACGACAGGGAATGCGCGACAGTTGCCTCTTGGCCGCAAGAGCAGTGTGACGGTACCCTGGCCGGTGTCCATCCGTAACGGAGGCAGAGTCCGTCCCAAAACTCTCCCTTTGTTAAATTAAAATGATATTTCTTAAGTGGACGGCACGTCAGCCAGCTCGACGACCCTTTCTCCTTCGCGACGTCTATGACATGTCGTAGCGACTCCGACGCACTGCCCGATATCGCGTCGAATTCCAGTTTCTGATGACGTCGAGAAGATGCCTTGGCGTCTCTCTTGGCCGATCTGATTAACACTACCGAGTCACCGATGGAGCCATCCCCTGACAAGATTCTCCGAGACAAAGGGCTGGTCATCCGAACCGACGAGTCGTATTGTTGGCATAGGGACACAGGGTTAATCAAACCGAGCCCACCCAGACGACACGGCAAAGCCATAAGCCGTCGGAGGGTGTCGCCTGGGGGTGCACGGCAAGTTAAGGCGGGAATCAGTTCAGACTTCACAATGTCCTCCAGCGGTTGGAACATGGGTTCGGGTACCTTCATGGTACGACAGAGGAACGCCCATCTACCCCTGAGGCCCGTCACATACGCAGAATACGCAGCCTGCGGCTGGGTTTGTGCAAATACTGCTAGCTTCTTCAGTTCCCCCATCCATTCGTCCACCTTTGTTTTGATATAGCTTTGAAGAAAGCTGTCCCTTCCGATTGCTGCGCCAAGATATCGTGATCCCTCGTCCGTTATCATTACACCAGTGTCTCGAAACAATTCAGTCGCCTCCTGGTAACACCTTTCCTTGACGACAAGGACCGATTTCTTTGGGTTTACGTAATATCCATATGCCGGTCCTCTCTTGTCCATTATGTCCCACCATAGACGGAGTCTGCGAAGACGAGCAGCAGCGGATGAATCGTCCGCGAACCATGACTGCACCGCACCCGCCTCATCCGCCAAACGTATCAAGGGCATTATTCCCAACGCGTACATGTACATTGCAAGGGGATCACCCTGTGTTGTCCCTTCTTGCGACAGGATACTTTCACCGTCCACGTAGAGATGAGCTGGATCACGGTAGGTATTAATAAGAACGGTAGCAAGTGATGGACACAAGTGCCGAACATTTCTTAAGCAAGTCTGTCGATTTAGTCTGTTGAACGCATTACTTGCATCCGCCATCAGAATTCCTTCGGTGTCATCCAGCTCAAAGGCCTGCTGCATCGCATGTATTCCCGCCTCTATACCGCAATCCTGGCCAGCGCATAGCTGTATACACCCAACCGCCTCCTGGACGGCTTGGCCTACGATGGAGAGGATGGCCTTGCTTATAATGCGTCGAGCGACCTCACCTATTCCAATCGGCCGGACACCGGGTTGCTTGTCCAACGCTATCAATCTGCACGCAGTGAAAGCCGACAAAGATGCTGGGTGCACGTACGTGGAGGCTAAACGCCTTGCACACGATGCTAGTGCATCGCAAAGGCCCTGGGAGGCGTCAGAGAAACTAGCGCAAAAATGCCTCCAGTTCTCGGCGTCAACACCACTCGGCCCCGCAGCACCCTGCGTACCGAGCGCTGCACTCTTAATCGACTGACGTCCAAGGCTGCTGAAATAGATCGGATGAGGTGGAGCAGGTGGATCACCACCAATAACGGCGTCCTCGCTCATCGGCTCTGCGGGTGGATGTTTGTCTTTCAGGATATCCCGGACAGTGCGTCCGTCAATCTCGTCGTCCAACTGATGCACGCCTCCATCATCACCGCTTGTCAAGCCACGGAGCGCCTTGCCCACTTTGCCCGCGGTGACATAATCTGCAAAACGCCTAGCAGGGTCAACCGACGGACCCACTGAATCACGTTTATGTTTGTTCTTGGACGATAGAAGAGAGGTCTGTATGGTGTCCGCTTCCCGTTGCAGCTCTGCAAAATCTCCCTTCGACCACTGGTCCATGCGGCGCTCAAGTATTTTACCATTCATAAAAAGATGGACTTCTAGCTGTTGGCCATAAATTAGGGGTGAAACGAACATGGATTTCTCCTTAACGAACCTTCTTTATCGTAACGAACGAACATGCGGATATGTTCTGTAAGAGACTTCAATTTTCATGATTTACTGTCTGGGCTTCATTGTGAGGTGCACAAGCATATTGAAGCAATACAGTAGAGTCGCGCGTTGAAGAACGTGAAGCCCAAGAACGTCCAGCCTGAAATTCTAAGAACGCCACAGCCTAAAGTTAAGAACTGCGGTGTTGGTTTTCTGGCAGCTTGTGGGATACAGTCATTATGATCCAGTACGGATTGTTTTTAAGAACGCAGCCAGATTGCTGAAAAATAAGAACGCCCCAGGCTAACCCCTTGGAAACAACGTTCTTGGGCGTGCGACTCTACTGTACCAGCTATAACTAGGTACTAACAAGAGTACATAAACCAGAGTGTGCAACTCGGGATGGTTCCTGTGGGAGCGTAATTCGTGCACTACGTCATTTCTGACGGCATGGTAAGCCACAGGTACGGTGAAAAGTTGCGTAACCAGTCGCGGTGGTGCAGTTCACTGAGTTTGTCCTGATTTCGGTTTTTTGAGACGGATAGCCTGGTGACTTTACTTGTCGGTGGATGTATGCAGCGTACACAGTCACACAAAACACCGAAATCCTGAAACAGGACGTCTAAAATCAAGCAAACTTGGCTGATTTCCGGGCTATGAAACATGAAAATTTGAGCTGTACGCAAGTCGCGGCTTGGCTGACCTCATCAGGGTGACGTAGTGCACGAACTGCGCTGTTTCAGATCTGATATGCACAGTTGCACACTCTGGTTTATGTACTCTTGGCTTGCTACTAAGTACTAGGGCAGCTATGTATAGGATAGTGCACGGATCCGAGGAGAATATTTTTCATAATCCCCAAGGCGCGCAGCGCCGCGGGGATTATGAAAAATATTCTTCCGAGGACCAATCCGTGCACTATCTGTATATAGCTCGACTTGTCAGGGGTCTGCGCAGCCATCACGTGCACGGTACACAGTTGTTGGCTTTCACACTTTTTTCAGTTGTAAGCAGGGAGTACAGTACTCAGTAGTACTTTTTCAAGCTCAACAAAAAAAGGAAAGGCAAGCTTGCAAAGCAAGGAAACATGACACAGGAACAAAACACAATTTGACAAATGAAAAAAACAATACCTGATCTTTTTTTCTCTTTACATTGCCTCAGCCTGCTTTTATGGATTTCTTCTTGTTCTGGTGGGAGTTCAGGCCCCACATGTTGTGTACTCTTGTAAGTCCTGATCTGTGTGTTTTTCTCTTTGAATTTTCTTAGCCAATTAATTGTTGAGGGGAAGGGAGGGAGGCCGAGGGTGATGCCTGATGGGCGGTGTGTTCAGTTTCCATGGCAACATTGTTGTTGAGATCGAGATGCGTGCGTGTTGGATTTCTTGCGAATTCAAATACAAAGAACAACATTTCTCTTGTTTAGGTTCCATAGTAAACCTATTTACGATACAATACAGTGTAATTGCTTTCATTTGTTGTTCAGTTTCCATGGCAACGTTGTCGTTGACGTTGCAGACATACAGTCATGTGCTTTGTTGCCAATTATTCATGAGCAGCTGTAATTGCACGTTCACATGTCACATCCATGTTCATCTAATACAAAAAACATATTCACGGTGCTCATGTGAGAGTTTTGTAAATATGTCCACTTGTTCAATTACCTTCCTATAATAAAGTCATTTGATTGAGATTTCACACAGCAGCTTCCAGGCTGGCTCTTTGGGGTTTGTTTGGCTAGCTTGCTTTGGCCTACTCTCGCTAGGTATAGTGAGAGCAGTCCAAAGTCTTGGGCTCTTTCCCCTCACCTAGGGGATTATGAAGAATAATCCCCTGGGTCAGGGGATTATCAGCCCTAGAACCCCTGACAAGTCGAGCTATGGTCGACATTCATCAGCTGGCCCGCACCCATGCTGCACATGGAACTAATCTTCAGGTTTTTACCGTACCGTTTCTATGGTTGTAGCCAATGAGCGACGTTCCCGCGGTGGCCTTGATGAGCCGATAAAGCCCGTGGTCAATGGATACGGAAAAATACGGTAGCAATAAAGCCCGTCGTCAATGGCACCCCGTACTCTGTCAGCCTAGCTCTGCAGGGGTCTGTGGCAGTTTTTCGTTGTCAGCTCAGTTCGCACCTCACATTCGACTGTGAACATGCTCTGGTACCTGGAAACAGCCTGTCCGAAAACGGCAACATGAAAAGTGTCTACACATCGTGGTCAGTTTTATTATTATTATTATTATTATTATTATTATTATTATAGTTTTCAACTCAAGTTCTTGTTGTCGTGAGTGGAGATGAAATTTTACGATAGTTGTGAATAAGCGAAAGAGCACAAAAGAGCTGAAATAAGTGGCAAACATCGCGATCAGTAAAATAAGTGGCAAACATCGCGATCATGTTTTCCACTTTCTGTTCTACATGTAGCGGTACTAAAAAAAGGAGTTGACGAGTTGCCGAACTTTTCTGATAATTTTGAGGAAGCGAAAGATCATGGACCAAGGATCATCCCATCCCGATGATGAGAAGCGGACGGACCTGAAACTCACAAGCTGAATCCACCACGTCCCCGACCACCACCCCTATACGTGTCTTGCTTTTATACCAGAAAAGCGAAAGACAAAACCTGAAACACCATCATAGAGGTCTGGCAGGACTTTTCGCCTTCATCAAGGCCTCGTGCGTACGGCCGCGGGCGCAGGCCTCGGCGCTACGCGCCTTGGCCTGCGCCCTTGGCCGTACGCACTCGGCCTTGATTCAGCCGTAAAGTCCTGCCAGACCTCTATGATTGTCTACATCTTATGCACGTGGATGAAGTGAATCCATGCGCGTGTAATGAGTCCAACCGCTACACAGCAATACAAAAGGACCGCACTTTTTCAAGTCTTGTCATTTTGTTATGCATACAGTGCGCATTCTCCAAACAGAACGAGTCATTCGAATATTCGTTTAGCTAAACAAACATGAAGAATAGAATCCTTATCGACACAGTACGTGACTACGGCCGGACCAATGGAAAGGCATGCATTTTTTTCATAGCTGGACCACTAAACTTTGTCCAAAGCATTGTATGGCGTGTGCTCAGATGATGATGATATGCCGGTCAAAAAGCAGGCAAACACCTGCACAACACCTCTGTTCTAAGTAATTCTCTAGCATGCATAGACAGTTGAAATGAGGGGGCCATTAGTGCAACAAAAATGCGTAAGTACTAAGTACTCCCACTAAGAATAGCAGGAAGGGCGAACAAGTGGATTTAGATACACTTCTGCGTGGTTTTTTACTTTTATGGCATGGCATAGTGGGAGATCGAGTCATTTTGCGCTAGCTGGGAAGCAGCAGTGTTTCGAAAATAAGGTCAATTGCCGGTCTCCAAAATCAGTAGGCTAAAGCCATTATTGTAACGAGGTGCACAAACATGAATAACGATCCAGTTTATGTACACAATCAAACCGCTTAGCGCGCTCAGGCCAGTTAGGGAACTTAGGGGGGCTGTCCATGATAATAGATCTTTTAAATAAAGAGAAAAAGTTTCATTTATGGGTGGGTCAAGGGGAGATTCGTTTCGAAAAATATTGATATGTGAGACATCAAGGCATTCTTGCTGCAAAGTCAATCTATTTTTCGCTCAGGGGTGGTGGGTGGGGGAGGGTCGTAACTAAACTTTTCGTTCCGTGAAAATTATCGATGATGCCGGATAGCGTCTTATCCGGATCGGATCACTCACCATCTGGAAGAGAATGGTAGGTTACCGATTTACAGCACATGTCACGCATACATGCAGTATGTGTGTTCGATTATCAAGATCTGGCAGTGCACCAAGAAAACAGGAATGAATAGTGCAACTACACACAAATTGCACTACACTGTACACACACCATCACCATGCAGCCCAAGTTATACACGAGAACAAGGAAGTGTTTGGCCAAACAGTTTATTTCAGAAATGAAACTGCTGGAAGACCTGAGCTGGAGGTGGTCTTGAGTCTGTACAAAACAGAAAAGAGAACAAAAGCTGTTGGTAACTGGTAAACCCACTACAGAAACTGCACCAAGCAGGGCGAAGCTCAGAAATCACATTCAGCATACCGCCCTGAGACGGTTATCAGACATTAAGCCTTTGATTTAATAATCATCGCAAAACAGAAAAAACTGTTGAAACACACACAAACAAGGCAAAAGGTAACTCACTGCAATCAACTTGAATTACACGGTTGTTTAGGAAGTCTCAGCAGCCCAGTCAGTGGTGGTAGTGGTGTTACCCCAGTCACTGCCCGCACCAGTTGCACCCCAGTCATCAGCTGGAGCAGGAGCAGCAGATGTTGCTGCTGGAGCAGGAGCTGCAGCAGTGGTAGCAGCGGCAGCAGGTGCCGGGTCGACTGCACCCCACTGTACACGGGAAAGGAAAGGAATGACAGTACCTTAGAAACACATTCTGGACATCCTGAAAACTCTTATGTGCATTTGATATGGAATGCTCAGGAATCAATATCAACACGTTGCTCCAAAGGAGACAAGACTCAGTTATTAAGCCTTTGATTTATTCATCATGGCAAGGAAGGAATCTACAGGACTGATCGAGAGATGTTAACTTGAAACTTACGTCATCAGTGCTGCTGGTTGTGACGGCAGCAGCAGTTTTCTGGGCCTCACGAGCAGCCTGTTCCTCCTTCTCAACCTGGAAAAGAAGAAAAGAGAGAAAACAGATTCATTACAAGGAAGTTACTTGTGTGAGAGTTGCAAAACATGCTACAAGTAAAAACGTGGCTAGAACCACTGACACGGCAGCCTGTATTGCTACACATATTAGGCAGCAAACATAGAACAGGTGGAAGGAAGCAGTGAGCGTGCTGTGCGAGTGAAGAAATCACCATGCCCAGAAGTCACCATACGATGCAGTTAAGAAATAGACTAGTAGCCTGGCAACAAACCGACTAACCTCTTCAGGGTCACGGTAGAAGAACAGATCGGGCATGACGGTGGCCTCCCAGGGAAGCTCACGGCTGATGGTACCACGCATGCGCAGAACCTCACGTGCCAACATCCACCACATCAGACCAATGGAGTGCACACCCTTGTTGTTGCAGGGAATGGCAATGTCAATGTGACGCAGGGAAGTGTCAGTGTTGCAGAAAGCAATCACTGGCGTGCCAACATACGATGACTCAGTCACGGCCTGGTACATGAGAGGGAAAGAAAAAAACACTCCATGAGCCACGCAGCAGCAAAATAATCACATTACATAATGTGACGCAATAGCAAAAAGTATACTAATTGCACAAAAGCTAAAAACAAAAACACATAATGCCCAGCACCACCCGATCTCCGTACAACTGGCCGTTTCGACGCTGCCTGGTCTCATTAGTTACCAGAGGTCAACGGGACTGGTCAAACCAATCATAATTAACTGTACTGAACAAAAGTAATTCAAACCGGCCCAAAGCAAATCAGAGTGCTCTAACCGCAAGTAACACATTGAGCTAAGCACGAGGGCACAGATAACTTATTCTGATGCCTAGAATTACATACCTGGTGGTCAACACGGGGGTCAGACACAACAAGAAGACGGGGCTCCTTGAAAGCCTTCTGGATCTGGTTAGTGAAGGCACCAGGGGTGAAGCGTCCAGCAACGGAGTTGGAGCCGGTGAAGTGAGAGAACTTCAGCACAGCACGCTGTTTTGAAGCAAAGTTCAAGAAAAACATGTCAGCATGGGGCAAATGTAACACAACATGCAATGCCAGCACAGGAATGCTTACAATAGTCACGTCGCCAGCACAAAAGCAGAATTTCAAATAAAACACAAGAGTGGTACATTACCTGGGCATAGGACTTTCCGGTGATGACAGAAACATCAGCTGGGTTCTCAATGCCAACGATGACACGAGCAGCCAGGAGAAGCTTCTCCCAGGTGTTCTTCAAGTTGATGATGTTGGTTCCTGCCAATTCCCCACAATTGGAAACGACAAAAAAACAGACTTACTCTTCACATACCAGTACATGGACAATTAAGTTCACACTATTCGTGCCGTGTACAGTTTATGTTTATCTTGCCATACAATATTGCAGTAGGTCAGACAGTATGAATACGAATGCAGTCATAGACCAGCCGAGGCTAGGGTCCTGCAATTTAGGCTGTCATCACTCCTTACTTGGTGTGCAAGAGATCATGAACACTAATCATGAATAAAATGTGTGCAAACGCTACAACAAATCGATCATAATTATACGATCTTTTGCACGATATCAACGATAAATTCTCAACGCGTACCACTTCAGTTCAAGCCGGACTACACGCACTTCGAAGTACAGGAATTGTCTTAAACGCCTATATTTGTGAGATAACAGTGGATGTGTACTTCTAAAGACGTGCACACCACAGCATAATCCACCATTATAAAAAAATTGTACACAATGTGCATCCATCGAAAATTGACAAAATTGAATGACTGAATACAAATTTTACACAATAACGATGAATTCTCATCAGTGATCGTCAAACAGGCACGTACCGTCGGTCTTCTTCTTGAACACATACTGGTTCATTTGGAAGTCACAGTTCTTAGCACCGAGGTGCACACCGGCAGCCAACATCTTGGAGACATCGCTCTCAGAGAGCTTCAGGATGTCTTGGCCTCCCGACATCGTGTATTACAAGTTTTTTAGGCAACGGTAAACTCTGCATAAGCGACAGAAACAAGGCAAAGGGACACCAAAAAATGAACCTTACCGAATTGAATCACCTTCCAGATCTCCAGAGCTCAGAATTGTGAAACGAATCCAAGGAAAGGCAGCAAAGACACTGAACCTTACCGCAACTCAGACGCCAAATGGCAGGCGAACAAGAAAGGACGAGGCAGCAACGCGCATGCGCATATAATGGACACCATGTGCACATGACATAAACATGGTAAAACAAAATAAATTTTGCGGATAAATCTTGATGGCGGGGATTTCGTTTTTCGACAACAGATCCGATATCCAGCAGCCTGGATCAGAAATCGTTCTCTTTTTTTGTAGTTTTGAACTGAATGAACTAACCTAGTCCTTGCAGGTGGTTCTCTTGAGTGTTTCTTCTTGTAGGCTAGACTAAAAGTAGACTTGTTCATTGCTTCTCAAATAGTTGGACGTGACAGAGAGGATTGGTTCGCGGATCACGAAACTGTTTGTTCCTGGTGATGGAACCGATTGAGGTTGAATTTCTAGCTGAGAAGGAGCTTGTTTTTATCCTGCCCAATTTTCGACTGGAGAGGCTTTACTTGATCAGTGTAAGGCCTGTGGAGTGCATTTTGCTTCTGCATGCACAATGTAGCATCTGGAAAACCTTGCTATATGTACATGTACGTGTAGTGGGATTCAATGAATAGAATCGATGAATAGAATCGATGGGCTGATGTCTCCTTTAGACTTTAGTTATCCTTCATGTTGAAGGTTCACTTCACAAGGAGAAAACCAAGCAGATAAAACATAATGCAATAACATGTACTTGTTTCCTGCTACACGTACACACACACACACACACACACACACACACACACACACACACACATGTATGCATGTCACACATGCAAACACATCGTTCCTTGCTACTACTACATTGTAGTACTAAACCTGTGCTGAACTTGAATGGCTAGATCATGCTATCCCTGGACAACAGCAAATAGCCGGAACATCTGAGCTGGCTGTTGCAAGCTGGAGGATGGTGATCCCTCTGGCCTCTCGATTGTAGAGTACCGTAACTGCGAACATCGCCATGCATATTGCTCTTTGCCAGGAAACCCCGAGTAATCCATCTACTGCATAGTACAGTGCAGTAGGTATCTGCTATACCATGAGTACACAACCAAGAGTGTGCAACTCCTATCTCGAGCTGCGATGGGTTCACCCCCGGAGAAAATTTGTTATAGTGTCATTCTTTGGCTGAAGTATGATCAAGTGCGTATGCTTTCCCGCGCATGTTTTGTAGGTACGGTGAGAGTTCATCACGTTCAGTACACATCGATCTACTGCCCGTTTTTCTTCTTCGACTACCGTAGCTGTGATGTACAACTTCTTTGTACTTTGATCTCTGGCGACGCAGGATGGCATCAGTGAGCCAAACAGCCGCCAAAGACTGATGTCATAAAAAATTCCGCCGTGGGCTGGGGGATCGTCGAGTTGCACACTCTTGGTTATGAACTCTTGCATACTTACAGCGTGGGTGTTTGAAAAGCGACTTTCTATTCTTGTTTCCGATATTTCTCACGCACGATAAATCGAGGTTGACATAATAATGCATGTGCGCAGAGGTAGGAAGGCCATCATACACGTAACGTATCGCTGCTGTGCATGCGGGTGTTCATAGTCCCATAAGCATACCGTGTGGCTATGCAGCATGAGTGACATGACAACAACAATGCTAGGTCTCTCAGCTTTTACCAGTGTATCCTACTATCCTGTGCATGCTAGCGTATTATGCGTTCATTTTTGACCTACACGCTTTGCTCTTCTGTTGTTGATGATCAGGGCGATGTCGGCCCTCTGCAACCCAATATCCAGATAGAGGTGCCGCTGTGGCTTGCAATGCACCTCAAACAGCGGCAAAAGTGCCGCCTTCAGCCACCCTCATGGATGCAAGTCGGTATGTACAGTAATCAGTTTGTCTGTGTCAGGTTTCAAAGTACAACAAACAAAAACAAAACATAGCAGCTGAACCCAACATGGGTCACTTTGAAGTCATTTCTCTGCGAGTCTGTGCTGAAATGCCTTACTTTTCTACAATGGCCGTGACCTTTTCATGCGGTGTGATGCTAAACATAGCCCGCCTATCAGGACAATGTGTGTGCGTCTGTGCATGTGCTGTCATTATTAATTTAATAAAACTTGTTTCTAAATCGCAATTAACAGTACTAGTACCAGCTCAATCAACATGCCAGGAACAGCATTATTCCATTTGGAACAAACGAAGCAAGAACGTGGTGATGGACAAAGAAATGAATTCAAGTGAAGGATGTATGCATATCTTTCTAGGCCAGTCCCACGGACTCATTGTCCTTTTACAGCATACCAGTATCCTAAATGGCAGTGTAGACTTGATATGTGATTGTGTGCTTTCCATAATTGTCCCACTGTTTTGACTCCTCTTGTGGCCGTGCCTCCTCCTCCCTATACACACCCTCTCTCTCTCTCTCTCTCTCTCTCTCTCTCTCTCTCTCTCTCTCTCTCTCTCTCTCTCTCTCTCTCTCTCTCTCTCTCTCTCTCTCTCTCTCCCCCCCCCCTCTCTCTCTCTCTCTCTCTCTCTCTCTCTCGTAGATGAACTTGAAAAGCTAAAAAGAACTGAAGCAGAAGCCGATACGTTTCAGCCACCCCCGTCGCCGTTCTACCGAGAGATCATGCAAGCTTTTCTTAGTTGGTACGTGTGAACTGCTTGTACCTAGTATTTGCCGATTAAAAATACGTTGTAACTGCTGAGAAGTGAGAACCGCTGAGGCTGTACAGATTATGTAATATCATGGCACATGTGTATGCTTGATATGTACGGTCGTGGACATGGAAATCCGGTCGAGTGACCGGGGCCGGCGCCCTTAGCGCGTACAGAATGTCGCATATGCAGTGCACATGTTGATCCGATGCGACCAGCGCGCTGCAGCGCATACAATATTACAATGTCATGTACAAGGCCATACATGTGTGTACTGCTTACCCACGGCTGCATGGCCAGCGCCCTGGGGCCGCTAGACGTGCGACCGGATTTCCATGTCCACAACAGTATATGGAGAAGAAAATCAGTTACAGTGACGCCGCTCCAAACAAGGCATTACCAATGATGGCGCAATCACATGACCTCTATACAATAGGTGTGCCTGGTTTAGTTCGGCTGTGGAGTTTCCACTGGGTTTGTGCACTCTCATCGTGTGCTGCGACCGTACTTTAGGTATGCTACACGCCCATGGCGGGAAGTTAGGAACATTCATTCGTCTGCAGCCATGTTAGTTGCACTCATGAATGTACTTCTCTCCTTGTTCTGATATCCCTCGTTGTTTTTTCTTCCTTGCGGACAGTGCTGCTGACGATGTTCCTGATGCTGACGCCGTGCAGGCCCTCGTGCAGGACTTGTGGGATTTGCGCTCTGCCAAGCTAAGGCGCAGTATAGCAACCATGGTTCGAGAGCAGGCGACTCGCGCAGCGGTAAGCACCTGCTTTGTTTTTTTGTTTTCGTCTGAAAGCTCTTTAATAGCAATGCAGCGTCGTAGGCAAAAAAAGCTGGGTTGCTATCCTGTATAGTTTGGACTTCTTTGCTCTGTTGGTCGGAGACTGAATACGGGCTCGTGCCACTGCCCTTGTCAAAATAGATTGTGTTGAGGTGGCTGCTGGTCTCTACAGAGTTTCGTTGTTCTCGGACGTGCTGTGTTCGTTGGCTGCAGCTGAACAACATGACGCTGATGGAGATCAACGCCTGCCGGCCGTTTCTGAAGGAAGCCTTGGATCAGCTGCATTCCCTGCGGGTCCAGTATCAGCAGCTGGCTGCAGAACGTGGAATGGACTAGACTGGACTAGTGAGCTACCGCAGCTCTGTGGATGCACTGTCTTGCAAGCTTGCAGTTTGCCGTGAAGATGGTGTATATTCCGACAGTGCGATCTACTTTGCAAGATCGTATAATCATAATGCCACAAGCAGGCGACTGCTACACGCCGATGGCTGTGAAGTGATAGCCACCGGATGCTCTTCGTGCGACTAGTCCTGGCCTGGCTCATGTTTGGTGATCCAGTTGTACCTGCTGGCATTTGTGGCCATGAAAGTCACTGGCATGCCACAATGCTACGTCATGGCTACTTCAATACGTTGGTGAGCGTTCGGCTGCTCCAAAGTTGCTTGATTTTTATTTGGACCCAACGGTATACCAGTACAAAGTAGCTCTTGTACGAAACTAGTTGATCAACTCATGGCCTCAAACCTGGCAATGAAGTAGGGTGGCCTGGCCGTGTTTGATCCCTTGAGCCTCCAGACACCTTTTTGGCAGGAATTGCCTGTTCCGACGACTGCTATCTTTTTTTACATGTTTCCTTTTTGCTGGAGTTGATCTTCACACGTTTACAGCTCCTTTTCCCATCGTGCTTGGCTGGCCAACCACAAAAAAACTATACAGGTTCTTTTAATTTTTTGTATCGTATCTACGTAGTTTGTAATTTGAGAACTCTAAAGCTCCACTGTAGGTCTAGTATGTATGTTGTATCTTTGCTGCCGTGCTTTTCGAATGTGTATGAAGTTCATGGTTCTTGTCTAACAAAATTTGTTCTGGTGGGCTTGTTTAAAGGGGAAGTTAAGGCAAAAATTAAAATTTCACCAGTTGTAGTCTTCGGGGTGCTGAGTCGAATGGTCGTGGTCCGAGGAAGCTGAGACGCTCCCTCAGAGTCCTACTTGAATCCCAATCGAACTCGCGCACTTCCACCGAAACTGGGTGACTGCGCCCTACTAGATGGGGATTTGTATGCAAAATGTCACTAAAAGCGCCATTTCGTTCTTATAAAAGCACGGATGACCGCGATTGGCCCATATGTTGTAGTCTTTTGGACGCTGAGTCGACTGGTTTTGGTGCGAAAAGGCTGCGATGCAGCGTTCCTCCTTTATTCCCAATCGAACATGGTTGAACAAGCGGTCACGTGCTCCTGGGTGCCCAAATCACCTGGTCACCACGCCAGCAGGCGACAACTTTCACACCAAGGTTCAACTCGAGTGACAGGACTGCAACCAAAAAAGGTCAAACAGGCTAGTAGTAAGTTGTACCCTGCAGGCACGGTGACCAGGTGACTGGTGTACGCAGGAGCACGTGACCGCTTGCTCAACCATATTCGATTGGGAATAAAGGAGGAACGCTGCATCGCAGCCTTTTCGGACCAAAACCAATCGACTCAGCATCCAAAAGACTACAACATGTGGGCCAATCGCGGTCATCCATGCTTTTATAAGAACGAAATGGCGCTTTTAGTGACATTTTGCATTAGGGGTGTAAGTTGGCATTGAGATCCCGAGTTCGAGTACTCTGATTTTTCCGATCGAATATTCGAGTATTCGAGTATTCTTCATCTCCTAAAAATTGCACACCGAGGGCCTTAAAATCACATGATACAACCCTGATTGAACCGAGTGGCAGTCATTTTTCTCTGGTATATTGGTTGCTGGGTCATTTGGGCTCTCTCTACTCGTGAACAAATGTTCACCACCAGTCTGCACGTCAATATCTGCTGAATGCTGCTCTGAAACTGCAGATTTCTGTGGTAAATGCATGTACCACGTATGAACGAGTACTCTGATTTATTCCGAGTACGATTATTTCTGAAAAAACCGAGCGAGTACTCGAGTATTCGGTATAATTGTTTCACCCCTATTTTGCATACAAATCCCCATCTAGTAGGGCGCAGTCACCCAGTTTCGGTGGAAGTGTGCGAGTTCGATTGTGATTAAAGTAGGAAGGGAGCGTCTCAGCTTCCTCGGACCACGACCATTCGACTCAGCACCCCGAAGACTACAACTGGTGAAATTTTGCTTTTTGCCCTAACTTCCCCTTTAATACCGGGCAGTGCATTGCCATTGGTGTGTGCTGTAACGGCATGCGCACAACAGCTGGGCATACACGAGCAGCTTCTTACACCACCATGAGCTGTTGACTTGTTACTGTTTGTATGCAGGACACCACGCCATGTAGTTTCCGTTTTGCTTGCCACTGACGAATCACACGCATCGGGGAGTTATCGCAATCTGTCTTAAAAAAAATTTTTTTTTAATGGCAGCAAATAATCTTGTGAAAAAATGCTTAAATTCGTGATGCCTGCTCTCAAAGAGTAAGGGCCAGTGCATGATACTATCAAGATGTGTGTCATCAGCCAGCAAACACCAGATTATTTGATGGGAAAGAAAAAATGCAAGAAATGGGGGCGGGGGGGGGCGGGGGGGGGGGGGGGCATACACATGTACGGCATGCAGTAGAAGCGGATGTGGCCAGCACAGCAGTTCCTACAGCAGTTCCTACAGCAGTCAATATGCAAGAGAGCAGCACAGCTGAGGGTTTTTTTAACACAGGCTCAAGAGAAAATCGGAAAAATATGCTGCACTTTGAAAGTGCATGCATTGTTGTGACTGGTACAGAAAGATACTCCAGCGATGCTACCCAACATACCAGGTCCACAGTGTCATATTATTATGACTGTTTCATTTGAAAGCAACAAAAGGTGCGTAGAAACAGATTTTCAAAAGCCTTCAACTTTCAGCATCGTCTGCCAGGAAACCATTAACTAGGCACAACCTGGCTCGGAACTGCTGCACAGTGCATCCCCATCGCACAGCAGCTTATCACGTCTACTCTTCCTTGTCTTTAGCGGTCACGGAGGAGGGCGTATGGCAGTGTGGGTGCAGCATGCGAGTATTGCATCCGGTAATTGATACCGCAAGCAGCAAGCAGTAGTGTTACGTGTCAGCACATAGTCTAGCTAAGCAGATCCACGAGCTGACAGGACACCTTGTGGATTGGTAGGCCGACGACATTGAAATAGTCGCCCTCTATTCTCTTCACCAGCGCGCCGCCACGTCCCTGAATACCGTACGACCCTGCCTTGTCCAGCGGTTCTTTCGTGTCGACGTACGCCGCAATAACCGCCTGCGGCAGGTCGGCGAAGAACACCTGTGTGCATTCGTGGAAAGTGACGATCTTCGGCTCTGCTCTGCTCTCCAGCAGTGAGATTATAGTCACGCCAGTGTAGACATAGTGAGATTGGCCGCTGAGACGTGTCAACATTCTAACAGCGTCATCCGAATCAATGGGCTTCTCCAAGATGTCTCCCTGGAACGATAACACCGTATCGGCAGCAATGATTACATCTAGATTGCTGCCAGCACGCTCCAGCACCTCGTTCGCCTTGCATCGCGAGCTCTCTTCTACGAACTTTGATGGGTGAGGAAACAGAGGCTTCTGAAGTGAGCGTTCATCAAACTCTGAAGGGATGACCTCAAATTTCATGCCAAGGACATTCAGCAATTCTCGTCTGCGTGGCGATCCACTTGCTAAGCACACTCTGGTGGCATTGAGTTTCTGAAGGAGGGGTCCAATCATTGTTGTGTAACCTGCTATTCTTACAACAACCGAGTCGTCTACTTCAGATCAGATCTGCAGAGCCAAATACTGTACTTTGAAATTGAAATAATTGCTCAATCTCTACATAATCATTTCAAGCATTTTCAAACTTACCGGCACACGACCGGTACGGTACCCGGTTCTGTAGTTCCCCGGTTCACCTGTACCAGTGCAGTACCGGGGATCCCCGGGGTAGATCTAAACTGACCATGTCTCAGTACCAGGGAGTCGTCAATCGTGACCTGGTATTTAAATTTTTACTACTCCCTACTCAATCTGCGGACAGAACTATTTCGTCCTTTGTGGACTCATCAGCGCAGCACAGAGAAGATGAGGTACTACTCCCTACTATAAATTATAATACAGACCAGTCAGTAGATAGGTATTTCATAACAGCAGTCAGCAGGGAGAAGTTGAAAACCCCTGCTTGACTACTACCCGTACTCTTCCTCCTACAAGGCAGTCTACTCTAGCAAAGAAGTATTCTATGCCTTGTCTTCAGATAGACGTCACTACGGCCCGGCTATTTGTCACCCATTTTTTTCCGATCAATGAAATTCGATGATCATTATTGGCTTTAAATGTGGATCAGGGAGTCGTACAAAGTAACTACAAACCCTTTGGTCTCTACTTTGGTGTGTAACTTACAACACCCTGATTTTGACATCATGGAGAACCCCCCCCCCCCCCCGGAATAGCACTTAATTAAAGGGGAAGTTAAGGCAAAAATTAAAATTTCACCAGTTGTAGTCTTCGGGGTGCTGAGTCGAATGGTCGTGGTCCGAGGAAGCTGAGACGCTCCCTCAGAGTCCTACTTGAATCCCAATCGAACTCGCGCACTTCCACCGAAACTGGGTGACTGCGCCCTACTAGATGGGGATTTGTATGCAAAATGTCACTAAAAGCGCCATTTCGTTCTTATAAAAGCACGGATGACCGCGATTGGCCCATATGTTGTAGTCTTTTGGACGCTGAGTCGACTGGTTTTGGTCCGAAAAGGCTGCGATGCAGCATTCCTCCTTTATTCCCAATCGAACATGGTTGAACAAGTGGTCACGTGCTCCTGGGTTCCCAAATCACCTGGTCGCCATGCCAGCAGGCGACAACTTTCACACCAAGGTTCAACTCGAGTGACAGGACTGCACCCAAAAAAGGTCAAACAGGCTAGTAAGTTGTACCCTGCAGGCACGGTGACCAGGTGACTGGTGTACGCAGGAGCACGTGATCGTTTCTTCAACCATGTTCGATTGGGAATAAAGGAGGAACGCTGCATCGCAGCCTTTTCGGACCAAAACCAGTCGACTCAGCGTCCAAAAGACTACAACATATGGGCCAATCGCGGTCATCCGTGCTTTTATAAGAACGAAATGGCGCTTTTAGTGACATTTTGCATACAAATCCCCATCTAGTAGGGCGCAGTCACCCAGTTTCGGTGGAAGTGCGCGAGTTCGATTGGGATTCAAGTAGGAAGGGAGCGTCTCAGCTTCCTCGGACCAAGACCATTCGACTCAGCACCCCGAAGACTACAACTGGTGAAATTTTAATTTTTGCCTTAACTTCCCCTTTAAAATACCTAATTGGCTGACCATACTACCCGGTATCTTACTAATACTAGTACAGTACTCTCTTATGGCCCGCAGTCGAGACAGTGAAACACGGTCTCCACGTGGAGTCTTGGCACTGTGCAGTGTGCACTGCCTTCATTCTTCCTTCAGTGCCTCTGCGGGTGTGCCCCATGAATCAATAAACATGCAATGATTTCATGATTTCAAGCGGGCAGTCTAATTTTCAAGAAACTTTCAGCGGACCCCCCCCCCCCCCCCCCTCAAGAGTAAGTCAGTACAATCATGTAATGCCGGGTACTGGCAGTCGGATGGATGACATACCACCCTAAAAGACCAACGTCCCTGCCAGCATTGTCATTATGAAGCTCTCAAAGGAACTGGAACACTCCGGACGATGTCAAACCGAAAAATAGACGAAGCAGTCATGAGCAAAGGAGTGCCGGTACATGTAATAATACTTCGAAGTATAACATTGAATCTGTTACCATTAAAAACTTGAAAAGAATAAAAATAACACCAGATCAGGCAGCAAGCAGAATAATGCCGTGAATGCATGTAGTGGCAAACAGCAGCTCTCTCGGCGTACCCCAGTGCACTCGTAAGCACGCAAACTCAGTTACATAGCCTTAGCTTTTCTGACAGCATGATGTGCCCTCCCCTAGGGATACACAGCATCGCAGTGTGTGTGCACGCACGCACGCACATATGCACAGCATATTGTGTGCATGCGCATGTGCGCGTACATGTACTCTGCGAACACTGACCCAAAGCAAAGAGGGCATAATCTGACCTGGTGATACTGTCATTAATAGAGGGCAATTACACTGAGCTGGCAGGTAGATGCAAAGCAACATGCACACACACACACACACACACACACACACACACACACACACACACACACACACACACACACACACACACACACACACACACACACACACACACACACACATGCATACACACACACATACATCCACACACACACACACACACACACACACACACACACACACACACACACGCACACACACACACACACACACACACACACACACACACACACACACATGTGCACGCACACACACACACACACGCACACACACACACACACACACACACACACACACATGTGCACGCACACACACACACACACACACACACACACACACACACACACACAGAACACACTCAGCTTACAGAGGCATCGATGTGTATCACTAGACCGTTCAATAGGACATCACAATACCAAGTTACTGGCTTCTTAGATCATCAGAGTGTCGCCTTCACCACCTGAGCTACCCGTGGTGCTGGCTGTAGGTGACAGGGCAGGGTCGGCAGACGTTGCACTCGACTCAGAAGTTGCGGCCGACGCACCAGCACCGTCGTTGGCAACCTTGCCCGACATCATGCTGGGACTTTCCCTCATTTCCTGCGGCATGTTGTGCATTAGGTATGGCCGCGAGCCGTCCGCACTGGCGCCTTCAGCGGCTGCTGCCGTGCTGACATTGTACACTGACCATTCCTGATCCACACCGGCCAGCTGGAACTTGCCCTGTCGTGAGCGGTTCCTGTCCGCACAGCAACCAGACAAAAGCCACAGTATTGGGTCATCAGTCGGCCACCACCTAACATAGCGGCGCAGTGACTACGAAAACGTGTGGCACTGGCAAAAACAGTGTGGCAGCAAATGCTCGTGTGGCACCAAGAGTCCGAAAGTAAGAGCATACAACTATGATCTATTTTCTATGGGCCAGCTTTGCGGCACTGATGATGCCTTCATTACGTCATGAAGCTTCATTTGTAGTACGGAAAATATACAGGCATGCTTTTCCCCCTGTTGTTTGAAACAGCTCGTGCACCTAAAACTTAGGGATTGCGCCGGGACTTGTAGTAAGAAGTGAAGCTCAGTGGGCTGGCAAAGGAGATCATTTATTTTGATTGCATGGATGCTGGACGACATTTTTGCATCATGTGTGCAGGGCGTTATGTCTCATGTGAAGGCAGCACTGCTGGGTAGTACTCGTACTGGGCCAAATTTAAATCATAGTTGCATACTCTTGGCGGTGCACTCTTGATAGCATGGGTAAGAGAGTGCACTGTTGTAAAATGTGTTGACTTCATTCAAAAATCAAAACCCCTCCTCTTTCTGCTATTTGTACACATACATGTACTCGGGAGTATGACATCCATTGTATGTAATGATAGGAGTTTTAAAACCGACACCTTTTTTTCTTAAACCAAGGAGTTCATACTACTTCCACATCACACGTGCACGCTGAAGTTTAACTGTAACGTGCTGCTTACCAGCGAATGCACAGGACTATCAACAGCGCGGCAAGGAGACCGCCGACAATGCACGCCGCTATGATGATGATAGTGGAGGTGGCCAGTCCACCGCTCACAGCCGCAGCAACTGCAGGGCACAACATTGACAGTTCAGCACACATGTGTTGTTATGCTTATAACAGCTTTTACTGCACATTTCACAGCATTTCGGAAGAAACCGAGGCTAAGGGACGTCCACACATGTAAATATCGAGGGTTTTTCCGCAAACACATTACTTGTGAGGCGAGAGGGGCTGACTAGTTTCGTTGCAAAACCATCTGCACATGCCTCACACTGCCTCATAATCGTGTGTGTGTGTGTGTGTGTGTGTGTGTGTGTGTGTGTGTGTGTGTGTGTGTGTGTGTGTGTGTGTGTGTGTGTGTACATGCTTCACATTGCACATACCTCACACTGAGCACAATTGTATGTTAGCATGCTGATGGTGCTTATTCGACATTGGAGATTTCGCCAACGCTTTGGGGCCGTTGGACGTGTGCTTTTATATGCTCATATCATCCCAACATTGCACAAGTACTACTGCAAGTACTACTGCATGTACAGGAATTGATAGTATTACATACCCGGTGGACCTGTTGTGGTCGGCTGAACGCTTGTTACACCAGCGCTTCCCGGTGCTGCCGTAGCACCAGTCAAACCAATCCCTGCAGAGCCTGCAGTGCCGCTGGTGGTGGTAGCAGCGGTGGTGGCGGTGGTAGTGGCGGCAGCAGAGCCTGGTTGTGAGCTAGCGGCAGTGGGCAGCGTGCCTGTTGCACTGGGCTGTGCAGTTGCAGCAGAAGATGCGACCGTTCCGCTCGTGCCTGCATTTGTGAGGGGACTTGTCACTCCCGTACCCGTGCCACTAGACATTGATGGTTGAGCTGCTGTGGCGGTTGTCGCCACCGCTGTACCTGTTCCAGTTCCAGTCGTGGGAGCGGTGGACGTCGCTGCTGAAGCTGTCAGGGTGGTTGCAGTGGACCCGGTACCCGCCTGCGTTGTTGCACCCGTAGCCGTGCTGAGCACTGCTGTTGCGGTGTTACTCTGGCTCTGGCTGATTGTACCGCTTGTGCCAGTGGTAAGAAGAGTAGTGCCTGTGCCGGTACTGGTGGTAGCTGGTAGTGTGGACGCTGTGCCGGTGTTGGTAGTTTCCGGAGCTGTAGAGGCAGTCCCTGTCGGTGCTGTGCCGGTGTTTGTAGTTTCCGGTGCTGTAGAGGCAGTCCCTGTCGGTGCTGTGACGGTGTTTGTTGTTTCCGGTGCTGTAGAGGCAGTCCCTGTCGGTGCTGGTGTCGTGCTGCCCGTAACAACGGCGGTGGATGCTGTTGATGTCGTGCCTGTAGCTTCTGATCCTGTCTGTGCCACTGGTCCAGTGTTAGTGGCTGCAGTGCCAGGTGTGACGGTCTCGGTAGATACACTCGGCGAGGTGCTTGTCGGTGTGGTCACGGCTTGTGAGCTAATAACTCCCTGTGTTGGTGTACTGCCTGTGTTGGTTGCTTGTGCCGAGACAGTAGTGGCTGTAGCGGTCATTGCCTCTGTGCTGCCGGTCACAGTGCTCGTTGCCGGCTGACTTGGCGACGTGTTGGCACTTCCAGACACCGTGGGACCTGAGGGGGTCGGTGTGTCCGTAGTGCCAGCAGTGGCTGTGCCCGTAGTCAGGGTGACTCCAGCAGTGGTTGCAAGACTGGGCGTAGCTGTACTACCAGTCTGCTGTTGTGTGGTTGGCACCATTGTCACTGTGCCAGTGGTGGGTGGGGTAGCGACATCGCTCGCCGTCGTGCCCTGGGCTTCGGTTGTCGTCGTCGGCTGAGTCGATGGAGCCAGGGTAGCACTGGTTCCTGTTACAGCGGTGGTCACTTCTGCAGTCGCCGTAGCAGCAGTCGGCTGAGTGCCTGACACCGTTGTGATCATAGGCGTCGATGAACCATCAGAAGATTGTGGTCCAGGAGAAGTGCCTTGAGAGGGGCTGCTGGGAGCAGCACTGCTTCCAGTTAATGCCACTGTAGTCCGCCCAGTAGCCGCCGCCGTCGTTGCTTGTGCTGAGGTTGTGGGTTGTTCTGTTAAAGTTGTCAGGGGCTGGGCAGGAGATGTAGTAGGTAGCTGTGAAGAGGTTGTCGGTCCCTGCGCAGTTGTCGTTTGTTGCCCCGTCGGTGTTGTTTCCTGTTGCGTTGAACTGCTGGAGGCGGTGGGAGTGGTCTGCTGTGGCTGTGTTGCAGTTGTCTCCACTGCTACAATAGAGAAGAAGAAAAGAGTATGCAGAAATATTAGAATGGATCATTTCTTGTGAAGCCACCTTAAAACGAGGACAAGCACATGTAATCACAAAATTAATGTTATTTCAAGTTTGGAGCGTTGGTCTACTTTCATGCAATATAAACTTACAAAGGAAGCAACAACAAAGGCTACTGTATGTTTACTGCGTTTATTGCACTGGTGTATACTCTCTTTCTTCTCACTTTTGTCTTGCAAGCAAAGTTGAGTCACCTTCAAGATTTCCTTTGTTTGTGCTACATGTAGTGTAAGCTGCATGTACAGTAAAACCTGGTGTAAGCGTCGACCTCTGGGTTTATCAACCACCTGCTCTTAACGACCATTTTTCCATGCACGGGCAGTTCTACGCAGAATCTGTGGGACCTGGTTCTAAAGACCGCCTGGCTTTAACGACTTTTTTTGCTTGCTTGGTCGCTAAAACCAGGTTTTACTGTAAATGCAAGGCGCATTTCTGCCTGTACTTCTCAGATAGAGGTGCATCTTACACTCCAGAAATCGAGAACTATGCTATAATGTGCATCATTGTTCTCACCAGAGGTTGTTTCAGCTGCGGTGGTAGTGACAACTTCTGTTGGAGTTACCCTGTGTTCACAATCAGGAAAACAAGTCCAATAAGTATTTAAAAAAGTCAATTTCACTACATGTTCATGTTGAGAAATAGAAAAACGTGAACTGACGTACAAATAAACGATGCCGTACCAGCGCTTTGGCCGAGTGGTTGTGGGCTTGCCTGCGAACCACAAGGTCCCGAGTCGCTGGGAGCAGGGAGCGTGTACTGTGCTAGCAAATGTGGTGATGCATGCGCGAACCACTTTACATGTAGTGAACTGCGCGACACTCACGGGTCAACTGGGTACTTCTCGGGAGTGAGGGTAACCTGGATGCAGCTAACGAGGTTAGCCCCCTTGTCAGGCATTGGTTGTGAGACTTACCATCTCACCCTGGTATCACAGGCATGGTGGTGGCCTGGCACATGCGAAACTTCCTAAGCTGGTTGTGTTTCTCAACGCAATTGTATAGCCGGTGGTAACGCGGACGTGCAAACTTTACTTTGTTTATACCTACTGCCAACCTTTGCAAGCCTGAGATCGGGACAATGACATACCGTAAAAGCCCGTGTATAGACCCCCCGGGCGTATAGAATAGCAGCCTCGATTTCCTGGGTGTATACAAGGGCACGGGCGTTATTTTGGAACCGGGCGTTATTTTGGAACCGGGCGTTATTTTGGAACCGGGCGTATACTTGGAATAGGGATAGCAGTAAGTATTGGGTATCAGTACCTGTACATGTACTGGTCTTTCCGGCATACCTGGGCGTATACATGGGCATGGGCGCTATTTTGAAACAAAAGTGTTGTCTTCCCCTGACTGGGCGTGTACACGGAGGGTGGGCGTTATTTCGAGTGGGCGTATACAGGGGCTTTTACGGTAGCGTAGGTAGTAGGTATAGGAAAGAAGATGTACACAAATGTAGCTGTGAGGAGGCATGCGACTAATGCACTTTTGGGTGCCTATTACCAGCCTCGATATCGGGACGGTCCAGGCCTAATCGGCATGGTGGGCAGGCCAGGTATGCAATGCATAAACCACTGCACAACCCCATACTCACATAGTTGTATAAACCACTGCACAATCCCATACTCACATAAACCACTGCACAATCCCATACTCACATAAACTACTGCACAACCCCATGCTCACACTGCACAACCCCATACTCACACTGCACAATCCCATACTCACACTGCACAATCCCATACTCACATAGTTGTTTCTGGAGCGGCTGACGTGGTGATTGCACTGCTCGATGTGACCGGTTGCGTTGCTGTTGTTGTCGATACTGATGGTGTAGCTGATACCGAGGAGCTCGCAATGGTCGGCGAGGCAGCCGGCGTACTTGCGGATGGTGACATTACCATGGTAGACGGCGGTGCTAATGAGGTGGCTGGTGTCGGGTTGACTGTAACAGTGTAAACCCACAGCACACAACAGCGTAGACGTAGACAGAGTCATGATAGGCCCATTGCGCAATGACCTAGTTTGTATCGGCACCTCCCTACACACAGCCGCCTGGGCATGGTTGTGTCGAGTTTTCAGATGTCTCATCACATGGAGGCGTGATGTGGGAAATGTGAGCAGCAGCAGCAGCAGCAGCAAGGCTGCTTCCTTAGGTGACATGACCACCATGTCTGCAATGGTGTGTTATCTGTTTAGTATGGTTTCCGGGCGGATACAGAGCTGCATGCACTGTGGTGTGATGCAGTAGCATAGGTTGTGCAAATCCGGATTTTGTCAATCTGATCAGTCTGAGTAGAGAGTACAGTGATTATGCAGACAAAACACTATATGAGTGACTGTCTGACTGTCTGACTGTCACAGTGTAGAGATCCAACCGCCAAGCAGATTGTTGCTGATCACTTGGCAATACATGCCATTGTATCACCCCCCCCCCCCCCCCCCCCCCCACACACACACACACACAAACAGTATGCTTAGGGACACTGTCTTCTGACCTTGTTGTCCAGATGTAAGAATAAGATCCTGTGATCGCATTGCACACGTGATCAGCACCAATAGCCACCATCGACGACACCCTATCCACCTATCCATAGCTTACGGGCTCTTCAAAGTGACTTCAGCTATGTCTCTGGCCGATATGACTTGATTTCAGAATTACAAAGTGTGGTTTCGATCTGGCTAGGGTTCTGCAATGATCCTTTCGCAACAGAATATTTGATCTTGGCGAAGATCCGAGAGGAAGAGGATCCGGACAATGTTCAGCAATCGCAAAGCGACACTGCTGCCACATCCTGCCGTTACTCATCTTCCCGCGAGAGCGAGAAACACACCGACAGTGGACGCAGGACAGGGCTGTGCACGGTCCAGTCTGGCCAGCGCGAGCGCTGCACCGGAAGATCACTCCGCAAAGCTGGCTGTGCACGGGACTTGAACACCAACCACCAAGTAGATCTACCGTCCGTCGTCCTCATTCAGCTCAGGATCACGAGCTACAAGCCACGGGTCGAGTGCATGAGTCCAATTCTCAGCATGCGCGATGCTGCTCCTGCCGTGGGTGACAAATGCCATGGAAATGCGTCAGACACTTGCTGTTGTTGAATGTTGTTCACCTTGTTGTCGCTACTGCTACTTGCCACCTCCCGGTTGGCTTTGATCAAGGCGCTTTGTAGGCATTGATGAAAGTCTAATTGTATCACAAAACAGCATTACACTCGTGAACAGCAGGGTCACTGCGACGAAACATAATCATTGACATTGTCCGAATGGTGGTCCAGATATTCACATACCGATAGCCCTGGAGAGAACAGTAGCAGTTGATGCCTTGGTTCAAAGGGCAAACCGGTCTGGAGCACTCCTGAAGTTATGTGGTTGGGAGTCGGTACAAACACTGGCACGTTGGGAAGAGAAAGGATATGGCACGGGCCAGCAGCCAACACTTCATACAAAAATCATGTGGGATCATGCTTTTAGCTAGTTTTTATGACAACGGAAGAGGCCCACGTGCATGCATGACACTCCAAACTTCCAGGCTGTCCAAGAGAGAGCTCAATACCGAGAGGCAGAGCTATTGTTTTCTGATGTTCGCTTAGTGCGTGAAACTCAGAGTTAAAACACTTTTTCTGTCCTCTTATTGTTTGTCGGTGTATATCATACAGTTGAGGAAGTATTACTACTACTCTTGGGGGGTGTTAACGTACCTGTCGTTAGTAGTCGAGGGTCAAAACCAAGGAGTAGTAAAATACCACATACTTGGTGTTTTACTACTCCATGGTGAAAACGAACCGATGCGGGCGATGGATGCGTTTCCATACCATTACCAGGCTCTGTTTCTGATGAAGCCTGCGACTCTTGTCGATCTAAGGGAATGAAATGGTAGATCTACGCTGCAAAATCCAGTGCATCTGTCGCGCAATTGCATCTCATTAGACACCACAATCACGACTTAGTCTAGACGTCTGCAGGTATGCATACTAGTAATTGTGCAGTTCAACTGTTGCAAAACCAGCGGCCTTCCGCACAGCAGCAGCAGCAGCAGCAGCAGTCGTTAGCTGGTGTTGTTCTTTGACTTCTGAGCTAGGAGTAGGAGCTGTAGATCTACACTGTATACATGTAGCAGCTGTTACTCAGTACAATGTACATGTATGTGCGAGTGCAAGACATCGGCCATGCTTGTGCCGTAGCTCAGTAGTCAGTAGATCTACCAGGGAGTCGACTCCCTCTGGTCATAGCCAGATCCTATGAAGTATGATGTACGCATCCGTAGTAATGCAGAACTAATCGAGAAGCAGAGCATGCACGTGTACTGCACTGGATGTGTGCTGCGGAGTTGGTCGTGTGAAGGCGAAGTGGCTCCACTTCGAAATACAATGGTCTTTCGGTGATACCGGAATCAGCTGTAACACTCTCTGCCTCCAGGCCCGAACCGGGACGTTTCCACCATCGTGCAAGAACCCTTGCTTGGCCTCGGAGGGAAGGTCTCTACCAAATCTCAAGTCCTTGGAATTACATGACATGCCTCATTTGATGAATACATGTAGTCTATGAACTTTCCTTGAGGTTTTTCTTTGACACCCTACAGGGTCACCTGGTCTTTGCAGAGCTCGAAGGCTACCTTCAACAGTCCTCAGAGTACATGTAGCCCTTGGCCAAGAGTAGTATTATTACATGTATGTACTCTTGCCTAGGCGGTTGATGTCGGCAGAGAAATCAGTGGCAGGATTTGGTACTTTTTCTGGTACCCCCTGAGGATGTACCCCGTTTGCTGACAGTGCTAAACACCGCGGAGGCAGAGCGTAATACAGAACAACAAGGACAATCAAGGCTTGTTTACAGTTGCCTGATGATTGCGAGAGCATGAAATTTGAAGTAGCAGCAGACAAGCCTTGATTGTCCTTGTTGTTCTGTACGTTTTCTGGTATATTTCATGCATGTCTGGTATGTGGATAAAGAAAGCTAAAGCACAAAGAGCGAAAAGCACAGGAAACCTGCCCTTCACAGTGCCGGGCGCCTCACTCGGGTCGGCATCCAGCATACGCAGTGAGCCTGGATTGGAAGGTCACGTGTTTAGGATACTGTAGTGTCTTAGATTAGCCTGTCTTGCATAGAAGCCTGTTTTGAATATAAGCCTGATTCTCAAGATGCACATAAGCATAGAGATACGTGGTTTGAATAGAAGCCTGACTTGAATAGAAGCCTAGCACTGACATCGGATTTACAGAAATAAGCCGTGACATTACGGTAACTACATGCATACTAGTAATCATGGACGTCAATAATTATTACCCTCTATATGATCTAAAAGGCACAATAGCGATAGTTCCCCGATTACCTAGAGCGCTCAACACCACAAGGATGGAGCATTACCATTTGGACCCAGATGATGTACAGGTTATCAATATCAGTGGTCTGAGGATTGCCTTAGCTTTGCTATGTGCATGCGACGCAGCATTACAACAATGACCTAGCAGGTTGTCTATGTTCTCTGCTGCCTTTGTGGTCTAAAAGGCATGTTGACGCCTCGCTTCTTGCATACTCTCTTCCAGCCTTGGTAGAAGCAAGAACCCCGAAAAAGCTCTATCAGTCAGCATGAAGACTATTTGGTCTGTCAGAACTCAGGAGTTGGTGCCACTGTCAAGCGCAACTATAACACTTTAGTTTAGACGCTGGCTTAAAAGTCGTATCAACCATGCAGAGCAAAAAGATGCCAGTTACCGACACCATCACCCCGATTACAAAAGAATGGCGTAATCCATGAAACTAGACTGGCCAATGGGGTAGTATTGGCACCACCAATGAATGTGGCTGGTGGCTCATTCGAGGGTGAAATAGAATTGGGCTATCGAACAGCTAGCCCGGTCTGTAAGCTCCAATACCCCCGAATACCCCGTAACAATGCAGCCGGAAGCTGCGAGTTGTGCATCAACATTGCCACGAGCACCAGCAGTCCTCAGCCTAGAGCCAAGATCATGAAGATCACAATCATATCGCTGGTGACTTTTGAACTACATGTAGAGGCTCGGAGATTGAGAACATAATGTACATGTTAATGGCATTGCTCATCATCTTGCAAACTGCAAGGTACATTGCAATAATGGTCTTCAAATCAATTCAGTCGAGTGTTACTTTCTCAGGCATGCATTGGCAGTGCAGGGGCGAACGTTAAAGGGGAAGTATACCCTAAAATCAAATTTTCACCAGTTGTAGTCTTCGGGGTGCTGAGTCGAATGGTCTTGGTCCGAGGAAGCTGAGACGCTCCCTTCCTACTTGAATCCCAATCGAACTCGCGCACTTCCACCGAAACTGGGTGACTGCGCCCTACTAGATGGGGATTTGTATGCAAAATCTCACTAAAAGCGCCATTTCGTTCTTATAAAAGCACGGATGACCGCGATTGGCCCATATGTTGTAGTCTTTTGGACGCTGAGTCGACTGGTTTTGGTCCGAAAAGGCTGCGATGCAGCGTTCCTCCTTTATTCCCAATCGAACATGGTTGAACAAGCGGTCACGTGCTCCTGCGTACACCAGTCACCTGGTCACCGTGCCTGCAGGGTACAACTTACTAGCCTGTTTGACCTTTTTTGGGTGCAGTCCTGTCACTCGAGTTGAACTCGAGTTGAACCTTGGTGTGAAAGTTGTCGCCTGCTGGCGCGGTGACCAGGTGATTTGGGCACCCAGGAGCACGTGACCGCGTGTTCAACCATGTTCGATTGGGAATAAAGGAGGAACGCTGCATCGCAGCCTTTTCGGACCAAAACCAGTCGACTCAGCGTCCAAAAGACTACAACATATGGGCCAATCGCGGTCATCCGTGCTTTTATAAGAACGAAATGGCGCTTTTAGTGAGATTTTGCATACAAATCCCCATCTAGTAGGGCGCAGTCACCCAGTTTCGGTGGAAGTGCGCGAGTTCGATTGGGATTCAAGTAGGAAGGGAGCGTCGCAGCTTCCTCGGACCAAGACCATTCGACTCAGCACCCCGAAGACTACAACTGGTGAAAATTTGATTTTAGGGTATACTTCCCCTTTAATGATTGTTTTGAAGAGGTACATTGTATTGTATTCTATCTGGGTGCATTGTGACATTGTTCTCAAAATTCTCCGATTCCGCTGAATTCCCCTACTAGTCTTGATATTGGTTTCTGTTGTGAATGCAGCGTGGCTAGCTGTATGCCCCTGCAGCATCAACGCTGTGATACTAGCACGGCCATAAGGCGAGCGAAAGGACCTACGCGATACGATACATGTAGCACATAAATACAGCAGCACAGGTCTGGCCAACAGCCATTACCTAGTACTAGTAGTAGTAGTGTCGGCGAATCATGACAATCATCGTGGATGCGTGAAATGAGCCGCATTGCGCTGGGCACTACTTTAAAATACTGGCGACGACCTTGAAGCTTGATGGCCTTGCCTGGCACAGACACATCTAAACTAACTAAAGTTACTTACAGTCCAGTATAGCACACAAGGTCTGGGTGACCCATCAGTGGCATCACTTGTCTTTGCTATCACCAACTTGCAAGGCCTTTACTGTTACCTGGTACTGCAGCAGTGGCAACTGAAATCCGACCCCAACTCGGTGCGCTCACTTTGCAAAGACCCAGCACATGCTTTTAACATCAGGTAGACTACTAGTAGTAAGTAGTAGTAGGGACTACAACAATGTAGAATCGGCGATAATTGAGCACAAAAATCAGTGGTCGGATTTCAGTTGCCACCAATAGTACTGGCTGGCCAAACTGGGCATGCAGCGTGCCACATCTTCACACTCGTACTCGTAGAGAACGAACCCTCAGAGTGAGTAGAGGTTGAGCTACGCTACGTCCTAGGCGGCTCGTGTCCTACTGAGTGAGTAGATCTACTGTTGCCGGTTGAGCACCTGAGGCTGCGCATCAGTTGCAGCTTCATCATACGCAGTACATACGCAGTCAGCAGCTACGGACGCTGGAAGCAGGAAGTGGCAGTGAAAGGCACTACGGCCCTGATCGCATCCCTTACTGTCTTGTGTCCTCTAGTGGCTGTCTCTAGCTCTGTCCGTTTATCTTCTGTTTATTTCTAGCTGGGTTGATTGCCTGTAACAGTGTTGCACCGTTGCGCTATGCAAGGATTCGCTGCACCAGTGAGCAACATGGCCTTACCGTTACCGGACGAGATGTAAGGGTAACGCCTGGCTTACGGTATACCACCTATAGTAATCGTCCTGTTCTGGGCGCAGTCAATGGTTGCATCTGGCGCGCCAAAAGTCTCCTTGTAGCGGTAGTACTAGTAGGATTAAATTAATCTGCCCACCTGCCACTAGCAAAGGAAGTCAGATTGTTCTTATTCTTCTTCGTCTTCACCATAATGGGCCGGCTATTTCTGCTGATCCTGGATCTCCTGGCGGGCACGCTCTTGGTAGTTCTAGCACTTTCGCAATGCCTATCTAAAGTGCAGTATGTCTCGTCCGAGACCGCCAGATTCGCACAAGTGAACGGGTTTGAAAGCATAGGCGAAGGAATTCTGCGTGGCTCCCTGCTCAACGATATCCCAGACTCTGCGAGACGCACCCGACCCAGCAGTGGACGATGCAAACCACACAAGATCACTAGAGTCTGCAGCGAAACTCCAGTGGTGTCGATTGGTGTCTTCCTCACGAAACATACGCAACATTCGCAGGTCGATGCTAGAACTAGCGCAAAGCAGCTCAGGCGAGAGCTGTTTGCACTTCTCCGAGCATTTCTGCTCTCCTGGAAGCTATGGTCAGCCAGTGAACAGAACGATGGGGACACAGAAGTCCGTTTCAAGCTGCTGATAATTTCTTGCGAACATGACCTGGCCATCATCCGCGCCGCTCGAGGTGTGCTGTTGACCTTTGAACCCGTCTATCGAACAGTAGATGCCCTGGATGTTGCATTAGAAATCATCGATTGTCTTACGGCTACGACTACCGTCGAACCCAACTCTTCAGCAACCGGAAACACCGCTAGCTGCAGCTCTGGGTCGGGAGAGTCTGCCGAAGGCCGAGCAAGTAATGCTGCGAACCGCAATTCCGAAAGTCTACAAGAAATAGCAGCGCACTACATCAGGCAGCGGTGCATGATTTCGCGAAGGAATGTTCTCTTCGCGCTGGGAACTGAATACAGAGACTTTCTGCTGCTTCTCACTTATGCCAAGGACCACGCCATCTTGCAGCACAGCGCCACCATGGATAGGTTCCCGGTTACAGAGAGCGTGAGAGTTTTGCTCACCATTCCGATTCAGCCGCAAAGGTCGGAATCGAATCCGAGGCTGAACACTGGTCATGATCTCAGCTCTCTAAGTTCACAGAAACCTGGCCTGACTTGGCGGCTGTGCTGGATGTACTGTTCTAGGGTTGGTGAGGCTGGTAATGGCGTGGAAATGCCGGACTGCGGAAGGACAGAAGACTGCAAGGATAGCCATGTCGTTAGTCAACCGGAGCAAGGACGCGTAAGCTTAGCACTGAACAGCCACGACATTGTTCTCTACTCGCTCCACATGAAGACTTTGTCGGACCCTGGCGTGCGCGCATGCCAGCACCTGTGGACGAGAGCCTGGAATATGCTGCAACGCAGCACCATGATCACAATTCAATCGGATGCGAGAAGCTCACAAGCCGATGTGGACGCCCTGGCAGATGGCGTGGCTCTGCTTACGCAGGTCTCAACCGACCGTCTGCACAACTTAGAGACGCTGTGCGAGAGGTGGCCAGGTCCTATCGACCTTGCCATACACGTTCAGGACCAGAAGAGCTGGCAGTTGACCAAAGAAACAGTGCGATCATGTTCATGCTGGCAGCGGCTCAGAGCACACTTAGTCTACCAGAATGCCAGTGCAGAACTTTCTTACCCGGTCAATTTCCTACGCAACATCGTCCTGAGCCGGAGCACTGCAGAGTTTGTGTTCATTCTGGACTTTGACTTCATCCCATCGGTCGACTGCTACAGAATGCTCCAGGAGAGGATAAGAACTTCAGACTCATGGGAGAGGCAAGTTCTGGTCGTGCCTGCATTCCAGGTCCAGATCGCTGATGCCCCGATGCCTAGTAATAAGATCGACATGTTACACATGCTGGCTGATGGAACGGCCATGCAGTTTCACGGTGACAAGTTTCCACCAGCCCACCAACCTACAAACATCGGGAAATGGAAATCTGCCGCACAGCTGTACCCGGTCCAGTGGCAGCTGCACTACGAGCCTTACATACTGGCAAAAAGGACCGCCCTGCCAAACTACGACATGTTCATGCCAGCACGCTTTGGCAACAAGGCATCCCACATCATGCACATGGATGCGCTGGGCTTTCAGTTCTACGTGCATCCACATGCGTTCGTTGTTCATAGGTCCCACGTCCCGGCCTGTCAAACGCGCCGACTAACGGGCTGCGTAAGGCGACTGCAGCAGGATTTTGTGACATTTCTGGAAGAGGTGTGCTCACCTTGCGCAAAGAACCGCTACTCTGGATTCAACATGACCTACTCGAAGTTTATGCAGCAAACAGGCAAACTATCTAGCTATGTATGATATTATGACTATGAAAGCCGGTGTCGGAATTTGCGAGGTTGAAAGCATGCAGTCAAATAGTGTCTAGGTCTGAAGAATGTGAAGATAGTATGGTTATTCGCGAGGTTGACTGTACATTGCCACTGTGTATCCTTGTAGTTTCATTTCCTATTATTAATTTTCATTTTCAAAAGTTGGAAATTGGTTGTTCCAACGAGGAACACACGCTTCTTGCCGAACTTGACACTTGACTGACTCACGACTGCCATCCGGAGCACACGAGGAGCACGTCGCACCTTCCACTCGGCAAACCTGCAAGAAAGCACCACTCCCTGCTCAATACACAGTGTTTCGGGGAATTCACCCCTCATCGGTTGAGCTTGAGTAGGCTAAGGAAGATTGTGCCTGAAAAGCACCACTTATATACTGCTCTCCAGGCCAAACCATCACCAGGGATACAAACTTAGAGACGCTTTGTTTCCAGCACGACAAACACCTCGTGAAGCCCTACGTAGCAGCGTGAGTCAGAGTTGCTCATGGGACTTCTAAGTTCCAAAGTTGGGTTTGTTAATTTAAGCTGATAATTAACTTGATTAGGAACAAACACACAACAAACATGTGCACACCACACACATCCATACACCCCCCCCCCCCCCACACACACATGCACACCCACACCCACCCACACCCACCCACACACACCCACACACAAACACACACACACGCACGCACCCCCCCCCCCCCCCCCCCACACACACGCACCTGGTCCTGGTAAACACTGCCATTGCGGTCACGTGTCCCCTTGCGGGGCCGACAATATGGAACGACGAGCGACGGCAGTCCGCTGAGAGGGAGGTCAGGGACTCTGGAGCCATGTTCGAGAGAGCCATCTCCGGCAGCTATGGATCTGGCTTATCATCGGAAATGATCCCTCCCACTGGTGCCACTTGAACTGGCCCATCACTCTCCACAACAGAGCGAACATTCCATGAGCCAATGCTCAGAGTCGTTCCAAGTCGTCGTCTTTGTGTGGTAGTTTGCTCCACTCGCGGGCTTGCAAGGCCTCGCGAAGGACTCCGAGGTGGGGGCGACGAGGAGAGTGTCGGCAACGTAACTATCCGACCAAGTCTCCCGTCGATGAAGACCCCACCTCAGGCACTGTTGGCCTGAACGGCACACACACACACGGCACCCTTATATGCAGAGTTTGCTCGTGACCACCAGTCCATGCAGATCACGTTGAATCCAATGAGAGTAGTCAGAGAGGGCTGGCTAATCATAATTAGCCCCATCCCTCACACAAACAAGTCAACAAAGAGGCATCTTTGGATTGAGGAGTGCTGGTTTCGAAACAACTGGTTTGAAGCTCAAAGTAGAGCTGGTGTTAGCTCAGAGCAGAGCTGCTGTTAGCTCAAAGTAGAGCTGCTGTTAGCTCAAAGTAGAGCTGCGGTTAGCTCAAAGTAGAGCTGCTGTTAGCTCAAAGTAGAGCTGCGGTTAGCTCAAAGTAGAGCTGCTGATAGCTCAAAGTAGAGCTGCTGTTAGCTCAAAGTAGAGCTGCTGTTAGCTCAAGGTAGAGCTGCTGTTAGCTCAAAGTAGAGCTGCTGTTAGCTCAAAGTAGAGCTGCGGTTAGCTCAAAGTAGAGCTGCGGTTAGCTCAAAGTAGAGCTGCTGTTAGCTCAAAGTAGAGCTGCGGTTAGCTCAAAGTAGAGCTGCTGTTAGCTCAAAGTAGAGCTGCTGTTAGCTCAAAGTAGAGCTGCTGTTAGCTCAAAGTAGAGCTGCTGTTAGCTCAACGTAGAGCTGCAATGCTAAATGGATGTAATATAGCGCAAGGCAGAGCCGCAGCAAATAGCTAGATAACACCAGTTGTGAGAGTGGACCCGATTAGTGGGTACGATAATTATGATGGTGTGAATAAGTTGGATAGGGAGGGATGGTGGGAAAAGAAACACTGCTGAAGCACGATCCGTTGTCTGGAAGAGCACAACAGGGCAAGCAAGATTTGTTTTTCTTTTCCGCAAAATGGGCTGGTGCCATTTGTGATTACGCAGCAAAACAAAGCGCATGACGTCAGTCTTGAATGCAGTACAAAGAAGTGCAGTGTGTGCGCTAGTTCGGATTGTTGCTAACAAGCACTAGCACAGCTAGTACACCATTAGCCCCATCCCTCACACAAACAAGTCAACAAAGAGGCATCTTTGGATTGAGGAGTGCTGGTTTCGAAACAACTGGTTTGAAGCTCAAAGTAGAGCTGGTGTTAGCTCAGAGCAGAGCTGCTGTTAGCTCAAAGTAGAGCTGCTGTTAGCTCAAAGTAGAGCTGCGGTTAGCTCAAAGTAGAGCTGCTGTTAGCTCAAAGTAGAGCTGCGGTTAGCTCAAAGTAGAGCTGCTGATAGCTCAAAGTAGAGCTGCTGTTAGCTCAAAGTAGAGCTGCTGTTAGCTCAAGGTAGAGCTGCTGTTAGCTCAAAGTAGAGCTGCTGTTAGCTCAAAGTAGAGCTGCGGTTAGCTCAAAGTAGAGCTGCGGTTAGCTCAAAGTAGAGCTGCTGTTAGCTCAAAGTAGAGCTGCGGTTAGCTCAAAGTAGAGCTGCTGTTAGCTCAAAGTAGAGCTGCTGTTAGCTCAAAGTAGAGCTGCTGTTAGCTCAAAGTAGAGCTGCTGTTAGCTCAACGTAGAGCTGCAATGCTAAATGGATGTAATATAGCGCAAGGCAGAGCCGCAGCAAATAGCTAGATAACACCAGTTGTGAGAGTGGACCCATGAAACCAGCACTCCGTTAGCTAAGCACTATTGACGCACAGCAAGGGTCAATTTATGTCAGCACAGGCAAGCATTGCGCAGCTAGAGTTCAGTAGCTCATTACTCACCCGAGTTGGGGATCATGGCATCCATGGCACGGCAGCAAGCCGGGACGATAGCTGGCGCTTAGCGCTTGTTGTAGTCCGGATGTAGCATAGACACGCATCGCTCTTTCCACTGACCTGCCACTCGGAAGAAGGAGTCGGGGCACTAGCCATAGCAGCGGTGGTGGCTGCACCAATGTAGACCGAATGCCCGGAGTAGTTCGACTGGGATGGTACACCGGCCGCAGCGACAAGGGACCATACTGTTACTGTGAATGACTGCCTGGTCAGCTGCTGTCTGTTCGAGAGTACGAACAAGAGTTGCTCTGGTCCCTCGCGACGAGTGACAAATGGGTAGCTAACAATGGCACGGACCGGGCAGTACGGCGATACAGACGGGCCAATGTCACTAGTAACGCCTTTACCGAATGGGTCCGTCTTGGATGAAAGCAGGAAGAGTTGCAAGCGTCCGTCACCAGGGGAGCTAGTACAGCCCCGTGTGATGCCATTAGTGAATTCAGCACACCGAAGAAATCCAAAGAAGCAGCATGGCGGCTTGGTAGAGCAGCTTGTCATGGCCATTCAGGGTACTACTTTTCCGGCGTGCATCCGTCAGGTGTCGTAGGATTGGCATAGTTATAGGAAGGCGAGGGGTGAGTACAGCCGTACCATGGCATCGCTGGATGCCCTTCAACACCCTCTCCAGAAGCCACGCATCTACTAAGGGGCCGGCAAACCCATTCTCAAGGTGGGCTTTATGCACCGCACTCGCATACACAGATACAGTTCAGGGCACGCTGATCATAGTTCACGCATGAATGTGTGTCCAGGAACGATGACTCGGGCAGCAAAAGTGAGCTTCCCCAGGAGGGACTCGAGTTGACGCTGGCCGATGCTGCGCTCGCTGATAGTAGCCATGAGTGGCGCACGGATCTCGGACAGCTTGTCCTCTGGTAGCCGCAGTCTAGGAAAATACCAAGGTCAATGATGGTGATGGCCCTCGAGCTGGGATGGAGCAAAGAGGAGTGCCGAGATACGTGAATGCCCGGAGGGGGGGGTGGTGAGTTGCTGGTTGGCTGCAGCCAAACCAGTGGAGATATCGAGAAAGTCATCGAGGTAATGAAGCCGGTGATCTATAGCAAACTCGTGCTGCATGATCCAGTTGACTGCTGTGGCTACTGAGTCAAAGACGGCTGGGCTGGAGCGGAGGCCGAAAGGCAGAAAGCGCTCGTAGTAGTAGGAGCCTTCCCAGCGAAGTCCTGACGGCGGACTGGGATCTGCCGAAATGCACTGCGTACATCGAGCTTGGACAAATACACAGGCTGTGGGCATGACATGATGATGTTGATCGCGTTGTCAATGCTCGCGTAGTGCAGAGAGAGCGGCTCGGCAGGAATGCTGTCGTTCGCGCCGGTGCCTTCCGGACTAGACAGATGGTGGATCATTCGCAGCTTGCCGTTCTTTTTGGGGATGGCACCAATACCAGAGCGGCGCATGAACTGAAATGGAGGTGACGGAAATGGGCCTGTGGTCTCGCTGCGGGCGCAGGAAGCAGCTAATTGCTCGGATATAAATGCCGAGTGAGTGAAAGCCAAGGGTAGATTATTAGAGAAAACCGAAATGTCGTGTTGGCCGGCAGATCCAAGAGTAAAGCCACGGCGCAGCCCATGGAGAACATACGCAACGCATTATTGATATGAGTGGAATGCTGTCGTTCGCGCCGGTGCCTTCCGGACTAGACAGATGGTGGATCATTCGCAGCTTGCCGTTCTTTTTGGGGATGGCACCAATACCAGAGCGGCGCATGAACTGAAATGGAGGTGACGGAAATGGGCCTGTGGTCTCGCTGCGGGCGCAGGAAGCAGCTAATTGCTCGGATATAAATGCCGAGTGAGTGAAAGCCAAGGGTAGATTATTAGAGAAAACCGAAATGTCGTGTTGGCCGGCAGATCCAAGAGTAAAGCCACGGCGCAGCCCATGGAGAACATACGCAACGCATTATTGATATGAGTGGTTACGTAACAGGCGGGCAAAGTGGTCAGCTAGCAGTGTGGTGTCTGCAGAGTGTATAGGAAAGAAGCTACGTACCGAGTCAAGCTATTCAGTAGCCATTCTGCTAGGAGCGGCGGGGTGGCCGATTGGCTCCGCGCTGCTGCTGGTTGCACATGATGCATGGGTGGTCCTTGCCACACTGGCTGCAGGTGTGGGAGAAGCGGCACGACGACGAAGAACAGCGACCTCCATTGAAGTTGCGGCAGATTTCTTGGCTGTCGCTGGTATGGTTGCGACCACTGGAGGTAAATGCTGCTGGCTTGGGGACGAAAAGGACACAAACCGCCCCTGGATGGGCCGTCTTACATTGAGCGCATTTTGGGTGTGCATGGCCTGTGACAGCTATCAGCCATAGGTTCACGTCGATGGTGTCCAACCTCTTCGTGCCTGGTTACTGGGCCACGAGCAGCCGCAGCTGGCGGTCGTACTCTAGCCACGCGCTTGGGAAGAACTGGCGGTTAGCAGTCAGGATCGACTGCTGGTACGCAATCAGTTCAGCCGTTCAGCAGTGCGGTGTAGGGCAGCAGCCGTGATAACAGACATGTATGTGGTCCATGCCTCGAGCCGGGTAGTTACATGTATAATTATCGTGAACCTTGCGACGCACCTGCTTCGCGTACGGTCATCCGACTCAACGATATTTAGCTGGCTATCGTTATTCGGGCTGTGCACCAGCCGGAATGTTGGGCCGGAAGTGTGCAAGAATTTCAGGCAACCAACTTGAAAGAGCTACGAACTCCCCTCGCAAGATACGTTCTTGCACAGCCTTGGGCACAGCTGGTGCAGGTGGCTGATCGGGTGGGTTACAAGGGCTTGGCCTGGCGTAGTGGCGGCAGCAGCCGCATTGCCTTGGCCTTGGGTGAGGAGCGGCACAATGCTCTCCGATAATAATAAAATGGCGGCCGACAAAGCCGACTACACCTCGTCACGTAGATCTACGGGAGCGCAGATCCCATGTTGAGCCCGCGTCACCTGAGCTGGCGGAGGAGGCATTGGTGCAAGTCGGGCTTCTGGGCTCGCGAGCCGTGTCCGCACTGTCATGTTGCTGGTTCTCCTGGCCGGAGCAGACCTCACTACCAAGGGCTAGTTGTGCCAGCAAACGGTCCTGTAAAATACTTTTACTAAGTTTCCTTTCGGATTCAAGCCGCGCTGAGAAGGCTCGCCGCGGGGGCTTGGCAAGGCATTGCCTTGACAGTGTCGACAGTTAGGTCAGACATACTGAAGAAATACAGTGTCGAGGTGACACTCGGGCTGGCAGCAAAGCTACGAAAGGAAAAGAAACACTGCTGAAGCACGATCCGTTGTCTGGAAGAGCACAACAGGGCAAGCAAGATTTGTTTTTCTTTTCCGCAAAATGGGCTGGTGCCATTAATTTTGTGATTACGCAGCAAAACAAAGCGCATGACGTCAGTCTTGAATGCAGTACAAAGCAGTGCAGTGTGTGCGCTAGTTCGGATTGTTGCTAACAAGCACTAGCACAGCTAGTACACCATTATCTAAGATAACACAAGACACTACAGTCCATTCATAAAAAAATGGGTCCTGGCTCTGGCGAGCTCCCGTATTTGGCGATTTTTCGTGATTTCATCGTACACAGTGCAGTGCTGCGAACTTTGAAATTTGAAAAGGGTCCAAAAAGGGTGCCTGAACTGGGGTTCGAACCGCAGAATGCACTGTTGCAGGCGGGGTCAAACGGCCTGGATTTTGATGGTTTTTCCCAATTCAGTGCTTTTGGGGCAAAACCTGGCCGAAATCCTATTCTTGCTATGGCTTGCTTTTTGGACAAAAAAACTTCAGAAACATAATTGGAAGAGGATTCCATATGGGATTGCAGAAAAAAATTCTAAAAAAACTCAACGTTTGACCCATTTATGGCCAAAAGCTAGAAGTTCATTTTTTTCTGAATGGACTGTAGGAAGACTGGAAATGAGAAATGAGCCAGAACCATCATGCTGACACTGAGCACGCAGCCATCATCTAAAATTCCATGTGCAAAGCAAATACTGCTGATTATACATGAAATCATTGCAGAGGCAAAACAATTGTCAGAACTTTTAAAAAGGTGATGTGGGACATCTTATTTGGAACTAGATTCCGTCTGGCTAAGAATCGAAAGTGATGCATTCTTGCCCACTACGGTACAGATGTGCATGCCTCTTAATTAGGAATTACATTTACATGTCATGAGTTAGCTGGGAGTGCAGCCTAGTGAGTACATCATCTAGTACGTACTAAACAATTTGGGTAAAGCCAAGCAGCCGACCGTGCAGCATCTATTGACACCTTTATACAGGCTATGAGATCTATATTGATAGTCTACACAGGGCGCCACTACGGGACTGCTTTGGGCCAATACTAGGGACACATACGCTGAGCATTGGTTAAGTAGGCCGGAGAGTTATGACTGTGTATACACGACACATTGGTAAAGTAGTCAGTTTATCAATCGCATTCTAATAGAAGTGGTGTATTGAGGAATAAGTCTTCTACAGTGCCTTCTCGGACACAATTCCTGAGATCTTGATGTATTTCTAGAACAGTGTTAACTCGCAGAATTCATGTCTGGTACGTTGTAAAGTCTGCCTGCTGGACTCACTGGACCAAGGATCAGAATGTATCCCAGCGCTACATGGCAGCATGCGGCATCAGTCAGGCTGAGTTGGACTGACTTACAGCGGCTAAGGCACGGTGTGGTCAGCATTGGTATGTGTGTCTTCACAGCTCACGCCAACACGCACGTGCAGTACAAATACGATGTGACCCGGTTACAGTGGAATGCAGAGGAGGTAGCACTGGCTTCACGCGACCCACGGCTCGCTCTGGCAATTCAGCGCCAGGTCAAGACCACCAGCCACTGTTCACTCCTTGTGCTCTTTGCTGTCACCTGCAGCAATGGCACTGTCTGTCACGTCTGATTCAGGTTTCTCGGGAGCAGAGGCGTCGGTCGCCTTGTCTGCGTTTGTCTCCGCCGCTGATGCTGCCGGGTCCTCATCAAGGACACGCAGCTCACCCTGTCAGATCAAACAAACACGCACACAAACAGTTGCATATTCGGATACATGGAAGTCGTAAGAAGGAGAATGCGGGCACTACAATAACACCACTTCTCATCCGGTAACACAGAAGCACACCCACTTCCTTTTAGGAGGTAACTACTAGCTAATAAAGTGTAGCACCATTGGGATCACATATTTTTTTAATTATATTCACTTTTAATGTGGGGCTTTGAATAAAATAAAACAAGTGATCAACATCAACGGAACATTAGTAAAGTATGTAATCGGTGATGTTTGCGTCCTTTGTACTCCTTACACCGTGTAGGCTACCATTGGGTCTCACTACTGGACACCGCGAGTACAAAACTATTTTTAAATAGTTGACGGTTTGCATGAGACGCAGTCAGACTGAGTTTTCCACAAGCGTAGGAATGCCAACATCCACACATTTTGTAACTGCTATAGTGATGTCATTAGCTAAAATACAAAAAAGCGGAAAAATATGGTATTATAAATGTCTACGACAGTATCAGTAGCTTCCATGTGTGACTGCTAGCAATAGATGATTACCTTTCCAGCATCTAGTCTGACACGCATTCCAGTCTGCAGATCGGACAGGAAGCAACAGAGAAAGAAAGGGAAGCATGCTCGAGAGACCGTGACGAACAATGCATTTCACCACCCACCAGCTGAGCCGCTTCAAACGCATGTTCACTCAACTGGCATGCCATTGTCAGTAGCCGCCAAACACCCAAGCACTAACTATGTCACCACCTCCACTGTGCCATCACCCAGATGATCAGTGTAACAGCGCACTGTTCTTACCGCATCTCTTTGTCACATGACAATGAAACGTGGCTCTTTAGAAAGGACGCCTGACGTTTTTTCCCGACTTTGCTCACCTCAGGGGATGTTGAACCTATATTTGTGGTGATATATACATGTACCAAATGTCCTGCGCTATCCATGCAATTACATGTACGTGTACCTTTACTGACAGGAACCGCGACAGCATCAAACAGTCCATAGCAACCACAACACCTCTTTTCAGTTCACGGGCAATTTGATAACCACAGACAACTTCCTAGCTGTGTTACTGCATAATGTATGTATACCCATCATCGCCGCAGTGGCTGCTTATCCATACCTTGAGGTTCTTCATCAGATTGGAAACACCAACGATAGTTGGAAGGCCAAGTTCCCGCGCCACAACGGCCGAATGGGACAGGAGGCTTTGTGAGCACACAGGAAAGGAACACACCGTGGCAACATGCAAGGACGGTGACTTGAGGATGCACAGAGGATAGAAACCTACATTGTCATACAAGTCACCATAGCAACAGCTCATACAAGACTTAATCCTGCTGCAAGACTCCTCGCAGCAAGATTCGTTCAGTTGACAACAAAGAATGCATTGCTTAGCCAACACACAGGCTGTAGATTTCTTCTACTAGTATCCATGAAAGCTGTAAATCTCTATACAATCGTATTGCCCCGTGCTACAAACTCTACAATAATACTCATGCCACTTGAAGTTAGTCTATCATTGCTGCTATGCTTACCTGCCACGCTCTATAGCCAGACCAGCACACAATGGATAGAGTGGCACCCAGCCTGGGTCAGTGCGAGCAGTCACCAGGATCTCCCCGTTCAGACCCTGCCCAGTGATCAAGACCAGCACACCATGGCAACACATTCAGTGATAGATAAAGAGATGGGCAGACAATGGATTGTACATGTACAGTACTGACGCATACCCTACACTTGCATTAGTTCAGAATTGCCGCTGGTGTTCACAGCTTGCCTGAATGAAGGCTGCTGTAACTCTCCACACAGCCCAAAAGATGTGTGCTGTGGAGCACTGCATGGCATCCAAACCCCATGTGACGTAGCAATTCTTCAGGCCATCAGCACAAGCACGTAATCCAGGAGCACAGCTAGAATACACGTCATGCTTGCTGCCAGTTTTTACCTTCGTCTCATCGATAGTCTTGACCACCCTCAGAACGCCCTCCACCACGCCTGGACAGCACGGCGTGCCACGGAATACTCCGGGCTCCTGCGGGTGGTCCGCCTACAGCAAAGAGAACGGAAGGAACAGTGTGAAGCCGAGCAAGCAGCACTGTACGGACCTAAGTCAGTCAGGCATGATAGTAGCGAACGTGGTGAGTCAGGCATGATAGTAGGGAACGCCGTCAGTATATTCAGATAACAGCGACAGTCCGTTATGCCTACAATTGGAAAGAGAAGTGGTCACATGATACCATGAAAGCCTTGGCTCTGTACAAACATGCATACATGTGTATGGGCACTCAGCCCCCTCCCGGCCCAGATACATCGGGGTGCAAGTTAGGCTAACTACACAGGACATACTGCTTGCTTTGCCAGCAGATCCAGGTCATCAAGCAGCATGGGATACAGCATGTAGGCACCAGCTGCACCGTGTGTCATGAAACGCTCCGGTGGAACAAGGCCCTGCAGCATATTACAGTATGCACAAACACACACATACATACACACACACACACATACATACACACAGACACATATACCGTATATTCTCTATTATAAGCACAGGTCTCCATTACTAGCACAGTCTCTAATACTAGCACACTGTGAGTACCTTTCGAAACATTATAAGCACAGTCTCTATTATTAGCACGGTCTTGGTGGAAATCAATGCTGCATGCATGATATCTAGCATGTATTTCTTCTTGCTCTGTATGGATGTATTGGTTGAAAAAATATAAGCGCGGTCTCCAATATAAGCACGGGGTAGAGGGGTGTTGAAACAATATAAGCACGGCGCTTATAATAGAGAATATACGGTACATACACACACACACATACATACACACACACCCGTGCACACACACACACACACACACACACACACACACACACACACACACACACACACACACACACATCTTGGACCTTGGACGGAGCAATCACCAAAAATGATGATAGCACTAACTGTGGTAAGCATTGAACGTTAGCACTGTAAGTACAGCAGGAAATAACTTGCACTGCAATTTTTACAATTGGACAGCTTGCAAGGCTGAAGAATGGACCACCTATACTTAAAAGTTAAAAAGCCTTGCCTTACACTACACCGATTGTAAACATCACCTTCTCGGACCTGCGACTAGCATGATTGTATACCTGGGAGTCACTGTATCTAGGGAGATGACGCGGGCGACTGGAGCTTGAAGCAATGTGTGTGTTCACTCCCCCGAGCTGCCCGTTCCAGGCGCCATGGGGATAGGGCCGGTTTATGTACATTCGAATATTATGGTATGGCTGTTCTGGGCCGTGTTGGAGGTCAGCAAGTCAAGTCCGTGATCACGATCATCACAAGCTGCATAGACCGCGGATCATGCAGAACCAAACCCGGGGTGTGGAAATACACGTGCTTTTCGGTTAACTATGATACTTTGATACTCATAAAAAGGACACACTTCAGGCTCATTACAAACATCTTGAAAGTTTTTGTCTTCACAAGTATACTTTCAAGCCTTCTCATCAGGTGAAATACAGGCAAGGGAAAAGGAACAGGAACAGTGGATTTCACCTGATGAGAAGGCTTGAAAGTATACTTGTGAAGACAAAAACTTTCAAGATGTTTGTAATGAGCCTGAAGTGTGTCCTTTTTATGAGTATTATTGCATTTTTGTCTCAGAGGAAACTGTTTATGATACTTTGAAGTACTTTATATCCCAAAATGGGGGGGGGGGGGGATGATGGACTCAGGGTATGATGGAACCAGGGTATGATAGGCCAGAGTATGATGGAACCTGGGTATGACGGAATCAGGGTAGGATGGAACCAGGGTATGATGAAACCAGCGTATAGTGTGGCCGAACCATAATAAGCGCCTTTCCCTGCATGCTGCGGTGATTGGTACTGGGTTGGACAGTTTGTACAAGTTTCTGTTCGATACGTTTTGTGAATGTGTTATTGCGACCCGGAAAAGAATGCATGCAGTGTAGCTGGAGCCATACGTGTGAGGAGAAAGATGAAGATATTTTTGCTAAGTACGGCACCACCAGCTATCACGCACATACACCGAACATCATTGTGTGCAACGTCACAGTCTAGCACAACACTAGCAAACAGCACTGTGAATTATCGACTTTCACACCGTGTCCAGCAGTCTTCAACCACGGATGAACATTGCTCCATGGATACGACGATTTACAAGGGACGACTGTTAGTATCGTCATCATTGTCCCATCCTGAATGCCCAAAGGAAGTGTATAGGGGAAAGAGAGCAAGAGGGCGTATCTGTTTACCCTTCCTTAGGTTACTATGAAGCATTCTCAGGACAAGTATCCCGGATAAAGGCAATGGTCCTAAGATGTTGACCACTCCTGTTCTTTTCCTGTTTTGATTTTCTGTCATGCCTCAGGAACACATGTACTGCTCCTCGGTACGGCGGCCCGCGATGCAACAGGATTGGGACATCCTCGGTGAAAGCCAGAAGAGAGAACCATGTAAACTAAACAACTTCTTCTGCGGCTTACACCTCCTAGTCAACCTGGCAGATCACTCTGGTGTCGTGATCAAGGAGTGCGAGGCAGCACAGGCTGGCCCGGGAGTTTGGCAAGTTGCCCAGGCGTTAGCAACCAGCCAAAAGAATGTGGTAGGTACTGACTCATAAGAACTGCATGCAAGGCTTTCGAGCGCCATGGGAATGAGCAAGTTGGAGAAGCTGCTGACTTCCAAGCCTTTGCCACAACCAAATGACTCAGTCACATCCCGCTTGCCAAGTTCAGGGGCAACAGGTTCAATAATATTGAACTATCACAATGCTGCTGGCATCTACTCCCTTGCCGAAACAATGATTGCTTATCTGGCGTTAAGTAGTGGCGACCGGCTGCTTGCTGCTGTGAAGGCGAACCTCCGTGACACACGGTTCATCACTGGCTGCCGAGCTGTAGGGCTCTTCGCCAAATGTCGTCACTGCTCCGATGTGGCGATTCCTGGAATCAGACGCACCATTCACCTCTGTCCAGAGTGTGTACCAGGGAATCGAGACGCAACTGGCAAGATGGCCAGAGGATGCAAGTGAGTTCGTGGACGGCATTGTCAAGCCTTTCGCAGTAGCCACAATTATTCAGCTACATGTCGTTCTGGACAAGCTGCTAGAGCCAACGCAGGACTACGATGTGGTCAAGGGACTGTTGCAGCTGTTGACCGTAGCACGGCACACCTATCTCCATAGAGTATGGGAAGTGCAATATCACCAGGGTGTACCGGATCCAAACCAGACTGCAACAGTGCCGAAAAGTTGCCGAAAACCAACGTGGTGTCCGAGCGGGACTTCGGCCAGCTAGACCATCTGCTAAGGAGCAAACCAAATGCTTCCATGCTGGTCTTTTTTTAAAGACGCAGACAATGATGGTGAACAATCGCCCCCTGGATTGGTTGAGTTTCCGTACACCGGAGGAGCAATCAGCGATCCTTGGAGTTGCCAGGCAACTGGTTCCAGAGCACAAGAGGCTGGATAAGTCCAGGCTGGCTGCCATCGAGGAGTATCGACTGAAGGCTGTGCAAGCTAAGCAGCAGGCCCACCAAACAGAAATAGCAACGGCGAGTGGCAGAGGTGGACGCCATCCTGAAGTGGCTTGCCAGGATTCCTGGTGGGTTCTGGACCACAGGAAATGGAATGGCTATGGGACTGGACAAGCTTTCTACAAGCAAGACAAAGGACGACACTCAGTCTCTAAAAGAAGAGGATACTCATCCAGCAAGCGCCGCACCCACTGTTCTCCTTCTCCAAAGCCGGCAAGCTATTCCCCATCGTCGACCTGAAAGCGAATCTGCTGCATCTCGTCGAGCTCTCACCAGCCTCTGCACATCATGTAGCACTGTCGCATTTGGACGACATGCTGAAAGAATGATGGTGGTGGCACGGTTCCGCAATGTCAGGAGAAGCAAACATGGCACCTAATAACCAGGGTATGGATGAACCAGGGTATGATGGAACAAGGTTATGATTGAACCAGGGTATGGTAGAACCAGGGTATGGTAGAGCCAGGGTATGGTAGAGCCAGGGTATGGTAGAGCCAGGGTATGATGGAGCAAGGGTACTTTTTAAAGGGTTAAGAAATTTCATTATCCGGGCCGCTGAGTACATTATCCGGGCCGCTGAGTACATTATCCGGGCCGCTGAGTACATTATCCGGGCCGCTGAGTACATTATCCGGGCCGCTGAGTACATTATCCGGGCCGCTGAGTACATTATCCGGGCCGCTGAGTACATTATCCGGGCCGCTGAGTACATTATCCGGGCCGCTGAGTACATTATCCGGGCCGCTGAGTACATTATCCGGGCCGCTGAGTACATTATCCGGGCCGCTGAGTACTCATATGTTCCCGGTATTGTTTATCCAATTGCATGCCTCTAGTCCCGTCAGCTTTGCTTGGCAACATTTTGTCTTGTACTCATTTTGTGATCGAAAGCGAAAAATCGCTCAAAACTTACTGATTCGTAATCATCGAACTCTGCCCTCCTGAGCGTTACCAGACCTCGCAGGTTGTTGGTGGCGGCACGTCCATAGCAGTAGTCCTCCAGTTCAGGTAGAGTCAAGTAGAACACATCCTGTGTTACAAGCCAGAGTGCAAAACAAGGAACAAGAACAGTGGTTAGGCACACACATGCGGCACACACACACATGCACGCACACGCACGCACACGCACGCACACACACACACACACACGCACACACACATATACACACACGTGCGCGCGCATGCACACACGCATGCAGGCACATCCACACATACACTTCCATACACACTTGCATCCCCCCCCCCCCCCCCTCCCCTTGTAATAGAGTTTTATGGGTACGTTGACTAGTCGATTCTCTGCCGGTTTTGCCATAGACTTTGTTTACTCAATCAACCACCCAGCACATGTACATCAGGGGCTTAACAATGCACCCAGCACATGTACATCAGGGGCTTAACAATGCACCCAGCACATGTACATCAGGGGCTTAACAATGCACCCAGCACATGTACATCAGGGGCTTAACAATGCACCCAGCACATGTACATCAGGGGCTTAACAATGCACCCAGCACATGTACATCAGGGGCTTAACAATGCACCCAGCGCATGTACATCAGGGGCTTAACAATGCACCCAGCGCATGTACATCAGGGGCTTAACAATGCACCCAGCACATGTACATCAGGGGCTTAACAATGCACCCAGCGCATGTACATCAGGGGCTTAACAATGCACCCAGCACATGTACATCAGGGGCTTAACAATGCACCCAGCACATGTACATCAGGGGCTTAACAATGCACCCAGCGCATGTACATCAGGGGCTTAACAATGCACCCAGCACATGTACATCAGGGGCTTAACAATGCACCCAGCACATGTACATCAGGGGCTTAACAATGCACCCAGCGCATGTACATCAGGGGCTTAACAATGCACCCAGCGCATGTACATCAGGGGCTTAACAATGCACCCAGCACATGTACATCAGGGGCTTAACAATGCACCCAGCGCATGTACATCAGGGGCTTAACAATGCACCCAGCACATGTACATCAGGGGCTTAACAATGCACCCAGCGCATGTACATCAGGGGCTTAACAATGCACCCAGCGCATGTACATCAGGGGCTTAACAATGCACCCAGCACATGTACATCAGGGGCTTAACAATGCACCCAGCACATGTACATCAGGGGCTTAACAATGCACCCAGCACATGTACATCAGGGGCTTAACAATGCACCCAGCGCATGTACATCAGGGGCTTAACAATGCACCCAGCACATGTACATCAGGGGCTTAACAATGCACCCAGCGCATGTACATCAGGGGCTTAACAATGCACCCAGCACATGTACATCAGGGGCTTAACAATGCACCCAGCACATGTACATCAGGGGCTTAACAATGCACCCAGCGCATGTACATCAGGGGCTTAACAATGCACCCAGCACATGTACATCAGGGGCTTAACAATGCACCCAGCACATGTACATCAGGGGCTTAACAATGCACCCAGCGCATGTACATCAGGGGCTTAACAATGCACCCAGCGCATGTACATCAGGGGCTTAACAATGCACCCAGCGCATGTACATCAGGGGCTTAACAATGCACCCAGCACATGTACATCAGGGGCTTAACAATGCACCCAGCACATGTACATCAGGGGCTTAACAATGCACCCAGCACATGTACATCAGGGGCTTAACAATGCACCCAGCACATGTACATCAGGGGCTTAACAATGCACCCAGCACATGTACATCAGGGGCTTAACAATGCACCCAGCGCATGTACATCAGGGGCTTAACAATGCACCCAGCGCATGTACATCAGGGGCTTAACAATGCACCCAGCACATGTACATCAGGGGCTTAACAATGCACCCAGCGCATGTACATCAGGGGCTTAACAATGCACCCAGCGCATGTACATCAGGGGCTTAACAATGCACCCAGCGCATGTACATCAGGGGCTTAACAA